ACTGCGCATGGTCTAGGCTGCCGAAGGCTTCATTTTAACTCAAAACCCCAAAAATTCTCAAATTTCACTAGTTTTCGAAAAACGCTTTAAACTTTTCTATTTCGTGTTCAAAATTTAAACAATTTGTGCTCGCTTGTAGCTCACATTGCCTTCTACATAATGCCAAAGTTTAAGTGCGTCAGATCCAAAGAGAGTGGAGTTATGAGACGAGTTGCAAAACTTAGTTTCCAGCCTAATATTATATTAGGTTGATTCATGATTGAGGCTAGATTTTCGTACCTGTTCTTGCAAAAATTGGTTATCAAAACAGAACCTATCTCAAAAATATATTTGAGAGGTCATTTCCTCTAGTTTTTTTATGAATGCTTTGCATTCGTACCCTTTGTTTCAACGAAATTGGCGGCTGGTTGACCGCTTGCGCCCGCGATGCAGACTATATACATCTCTCTCGCGAGCGTGCTCTCGATCATTCTTTTGGTCCTTTAGGTCACAAAGCCCCGCCTTCAGCAGCTAATCCAGTTGAATCAAAGGGTATATCATTCTTTCTGAGCTTCTGAGTCCTCAAAGTTAATAGAAGAATTTCGAAACTTTTTTCATTTCGCTCCCTTTGCTCTTCAGAAATGTATATAATGACTGAGAAACCCTGTGCTATAAAATACCTTCTTAAATGGAATTTTCGAAAGTTCTGAACTGGAAAATTTTATAACAAACTTGGATAGTCGCTGAGAACATTCTGTGCCTAAAGATCGTAAGGAAAAAGCGATTGCAAAGTTTTCGCACTATAGCATGAACCCAGCACATTCAGTGGTATGAAAGTGGTAGGGTTTTCTCACTCCAAAGTGAAGAAAATTGGAGAGTTTCAAAAAGGTACTTTTTCAAACCCGCCGAGATGCGCAAAGAAGTGAGTGCCTCCGAACTTGCTGCAATATTTCGTCTTGAAAAAATTCCGTACAATCTGAGTTTGGCTCCACTGCATGTCTTACCATTGGCGACCTTTTGGCACTGTGCCAGGATGCTAATACTACGGCCAGTAATCGACTACAATGAATAAAATCTCTTAATCAAAAATGTACCAATAAGTATCCTGCATCCTCAGAATTTTTCCCATATGAATCATTAACGTAGCTGCTTTTCAGTCATTTTTTTCAACTCCAGCAAATTTAACGCGCTTACTCGAAGTTGACGTTTGAAATGATCGAAAGATACCACGTTGATTCTTCATATGGGAACAATTCTGGCGATGCACCTTTTAGTAAGAGACATGAATGAATTCGGGTGTACGTCAAGAGGCGCGATTTTCGTTGCCACCAAGTAAATAGTACGTGACTCGTGTTTTATAGTGCTCTGAATACTTTTAAGGAGTTATTAGATACGTATGGGTTTCTAATCAGCACAAATCAAATTCGAAACATAAACGTTGACGGTCACAAAAGCGTACAAGCTGTGATAGACAGCATTCTGACATTTCTCAAGTTAAAACGTTTGCGAAGAAACCAATTATACCAATTTGAAAATTAAAAATTTTGTAAGAAGATCTTATTAGTGGCTACTCAGTTTTTGCCAAGAATAATTACTCACAGTTGTACGATGTTTATGTCAACAAAGGATTTCATCGCTTTACCGCAAAGCTGCTCTAGAGCTATTTTTTTAGATGGACCGCAGGCTCAAAGCATACTGCCATTTTATTGGATCGTTGCAAGGTCGGGATGATATTGGAGCAATCGTATAAAAAGTCCCTATGACTTCACACCTGGCCGTAGGTGTTCACACTTCGCACCTCGGAATTGCATCGTATGAAAAGTCACTCACCCGAACTCGTACGCAGTTGACAGTTGTGTGGCTCAGAGTATCTAGCAACTATGTGGCAAGATGACGTTTTATAAAAATGAATAATGAACTAGAAGGTTAAGAACAGAAAATAAACAAGACAGAAGAGTTTAACATGTTGCGGTTAGACCAATGCTTTACATTGCATAGATGGCAGTACTCAATAATGCACTTCTGGTGCCACAACTATTCTAAAGTGGAACAGTTCGGATTACGCAGTACCGGGGTAGTTCGCCACCGAGCTACCTTTCAAAAGAAAATGTTCTAGGTGAGTACCGCTTGCTTACGTAGGCACATGAGTATTGTTAAGAATCAAGTGCATGAGTATCGTTATTTCATTGCCACCGATATCATATCTGAATGTGCGCACACACCGAATCAGCCTCGATATTATGCAGTTGGCTTTTTCATTTTTTTCCACTGTACAATCAGGATTTTTCTCAAGCCCAAATTCCCAATTTCTCCGTGAAAAATTGAATAAATGTGGAGAAAACCATTACAATTTCCAGTATACGGATGCCAGTGGCGTACCCAGAATTCTTTTCCCTTTCGGGGGGAGGGGGCACGCCCACGAAGAAAAATTTTTCATAAAGCTAAATTGGATTTTTGAAATATTTTGAAATATTTCATTTACTTACGAGTATAAACAAGTCATCTGCACATTTTTATAACCCATGTAAGTAACTTTCAAAAAATTCGAAACCCATTCTCGCCCCCCCCCCCCTCCCTCGGTACGCCACTGATGGATGATTCTAATTATGAATTCCTTGCTATCACATTTGATCTTGATTTTTAGTATAGTACCATTACATGTTTTTGTCTTGGTTCATTATTGGATATCACTGTCAACAAGTCCCAATAAGTCCCCTTAATAAATCCCTTAACAACAGTATCACAGAAAAATTTTGGTTTTCTATTAAATTTTACATGAAAACGCCCAATCTGCTCCATTTGTACTTTTCCGTTCAATCTCGAACAAGTTCACTTTTTATCACATCCGTAGTAAGCAAAAAAAGGAAAGCTGTTCCCCTTTGCACGATATTTGCTTTCTCAGCCATGGGAATCTCAACTTTAATGGTCTCCTCCTAAAACCATTTATTGCTTTAGTGTCAAAGCAACAATTCTAGAAATGATTTTTTCATTGCTACTACAATTATTTTTTCAATTTTGCATCAATGGAACCCCACACAGAACTTTACATTGAATGTTGCCCCCCCCCCCCCTACTCTCCCACACAAATGCTATTTGCGATGGCATACCGGAAAAGTACACACGCAAATATTTTCAAAACTCGTAAAAGTTTCGAATTTCACAACTGAATTTGGAATGCAACGCGATAACGAAGTATTTGGACACTGATAGTGACAGCTTAACAGTATTAGTAATACCATTGGAAAGAGTTTCATGGCACCAATTGCTCATGCAGCAACGAAATGACAGTATAGCATCAAAAACACATTTTTTACTGATGTGTTGGCACTAAGAAAACCATATGAAGTAGTTTTGACTACTGAGTGATTCTCATTTAATCACTTCTGAGACAGCAAATGATGACAAAATATTGCCATATTTTAACCACCCTATCTCTTCAGCTTCATCACTCATTTATAAAGCTCAAAGTCAGCTACATAATTACATTTTCTTCAGACAGCATTATGAATGGAAAAGCTCACTTATTAAAATTCTGCCACCCAACTCTGTCTTTACTTTTGCACTCAATTTTTAAAATTCCATTCTGCTCCAACACTTATTCTTCAGTTTATATCAACTTTGCGACTAGAAATAGCTGATCATGACAATATACATCGTTGAGATACCTTCGAGTAACAGAAAAACTAGTAATGGCAGATGCGTGATCTTACGAAAAAAAACGACGTTGTGCACTTTTTATGCTTTCTTCATGTGAAATTAATTTCACCTGATATGAGGTAATCAGCGCATAATTACCGACATTTACGAAACCGATGAGTTTAATCCCAAAGCACCTATAAATTACACAAACATCGATGTTAAGCAAAGCTCAAGCTTTGTATCAACACACTGTTGTCTAGATCCGTCTTGCTTACGTAGACAGTTATATCGGCATTTCCATTTTTTACCAGATCATAATCTGAAGGGCACGTGCAGATTACGAAATTCAGATGACCTTTTGTGACGTCATGCAAATAAAGCGCGTGGGCGGCCCAGACCTCACAAGAACTCATTGTACTTATGCCACTTAAATCCATCGCGGAATTGGCTGGACTCCGAACGTTCATTGGCAGACTGCCAGGTGCTTGCGACCCACATAAATACGCCACCTGTTCGCAGTCGCTTCTCCATTGTTGCTACTTTAATGATCAGAAACCAGTCGAATTTCTTTAGATAACCTTTCATATGAATACGGATTCATTATCTGCATCCTCAAGTGCATTGTTGTGTTAATTTGAGACGCACTCGTAAAGGGCAGCAGGAACGCAAAGAACAGCCCCCGACTGCAGGGGTCGCTCCGACTTGGCAGGCGGCCAGCGCCGCTAGCTGAGAATGAGCGTACACCCGCGGATGAATTCATAACGCGTCGCGATCGTAGAGGGCGGTGCTGGCGTGCTGCCCAACCAATCGCGTCGAAGCTCGCCGCCGCCAGCTCGCGCGTCGACCAATCAGCAAACGCGCTAATTTCTGTGCCTCTTATGCTGCAATATATTATATGTGGATAAAAGTTGAGTTAAGTCACCAATGTTCTCACTTATGAGGGTGTTGCGACGATGAGTGGTGGTCGCTTCACTCTCTGGTTGTTTTTCTTCCATTTCATCTTTTTCTTGGTTCTTTTTGGCATTGCTTGCTGGTTTTCCCCTGTTCTGTTGGTGCTCGGGGGCTGTGCGGAGTCGGGTTATCGATCGACACGGGCTGCGTCCCCGGTCACTCTTCCCTGCCACGTCACGCTTACCAGTCGTTTTCTTAAGCCCTCCAAATCTTTTGTAGATCATGGGATTCAGTTTATCACTTTTAACATGTAGAGGATGAAATGACAATAGTTTTTTGACTTTTTTAGTCCTTATAAATTCTTGGTTTTTCCCCATCATTTTGTGAGGAGAAATATAGGGAATATTATCGAAAATCGAAGTAATTTCGTAATACTCATCAACTTGCCCAGTGGATCACAAAGCTTGTTTTGCAGTATTCGCAATATTTTCAGTTTTCGCCTTCAAGTCGCTCCTCTGCTCTGTATTCGGAACACTCATCATAGCTTTATTACTTTCACTACTTTTCAGTTGAAAAATGGCTCGTACCAAGCAGACTGCTCGTAAATCAACAGGAGGAAAGGCGCCGCGTAAACAACTCGCCACTAAGGTAATTGATAATTAGTTACTTCTACGAAATAATGGGTGATTAAGCTCGGATCAACAACTGCAAGTTCCGTACGAAAAAATCTTTTTTTAGGCCGCTCGCAAGTCGGCGCCGTCGACGGGTGGTGTGAAGAAGCCGCATCGTTATCGTCCCGGAACCGTTGCCCTTCGTGAAATTCGTCGATATCAGAAGTCAACGGAATTGCTTATCCGTAAATTGCCGTTCCAACGTCTTGTTCGTGAAATCGCTCAGGATTTCAAGACTGATCTCCGCTTCCAGTCTGCTGCCATCGGCGCTCTCCAGGTGCGGTTTTTTCCATTCCTTTTCGTTTTTTCCCGTTCAATTCTTCACCATTAACAATAGTTTCTTTCAGGAAGCCTCGGAAGCCTACCTCGTAGGTCTTTTCGAAGATACTAACCTCTGCGCCATCCATGCCAAGCGTGTCACCATCATGCCGAAGGACATCCAGCTTGCGCGCCGCATCCGAGGCGAACGCGCGTAAACGCTCGTCGAATCTTCCGTTATAGTAAAACAGTCATTTGGACTTTACCAGCGTGCTTGTGTGTGTATGTATGTACGTATAATCCTTTTTAATCCCAAGATGTCATGCGTTGTGTTCCTTCAAACTATTCTCATTTTATTAATCTCATTTTCATTTCCTAACTCTAACCAAGTATCCGTCAAACGTTGAGTTGTATTTCGATATTTAACTCCAAATAAACCATACAACATTTTTCTTTGTTTCAACAGTAATAAGCTAAGATTGGAAGTGAAAGGCTATACGTGTAAATTAGAGAATGCTGTAGTTTGCTTCTAAACCGTTTTGACTACTTGCAAGTTTACAATAGGGAATGGACGAAATGGACATTTTCGCCATAATTACTGAATCTTTCCCTGTAAACCAAATTAATAGTCAGTGCAGAATATCTCGCTCCACTGCTAAAGCCAACGGTTGATTTAGTCGGAGACAACGAATATTTGAAGCGGGACCGTTTTATGGCCCTGTAAAGTCAGTATTTTACCACCCGATTATTAACAACAAACTAGTTTTAGAAGATTTAATAGATTTGAGAGGCCCCGTTTGAGCAGCATAAATGAGACTATATCAGGATATTGTTACTAGCTGGCTTTTTGAGATGTTTGAAAAAGGAAGTTATCCTGCTTATAGACCATGGTTGGAGATTATAGTTACGTTATGCACATCTGCAACCAAGTTAATTTTTTTATACAGCTTCAAATCGAAAAGACACCCATACAAAACGAGATCAAGGTGTACATGGAGATCCACACTGCAATATGTACCTAACAAATTGAAAAATGAGATAATTGAAGGTGGAACTTCATACACAAGCATAAATTATGAGCAGTATTCTAAATGATGATCATAAAACAAGTAAGGAAATGAAAGGAAAAAAACAGGGAAGCATATAATCTTCAAAAATTTGGAATCCTAAAAGAGCACAGATCACCAAAGAAATTGACCGGAATGAAAATTGGGCACTACGGGGTGCCGACTAGTCAGTCGCAGTTCGAACTGGAGTACTGACGGTCGTGGACTGCTTGTCAGCAACTTCTTCATCGTCTGATTCAGCCTGACGGAAGGTATATGGCACATTATCCAGAACGCTCTCGACAACGTATTTGTATTTGCGTCGACGTTTTCGGATTTGTTTTGGAGAAGACGTCTCATCGCTGAAATTGATATTTACAGATGCTTGGTGATGTGGACAGTCAAAGAATTCGTTCAATCGCTAATATGAACATCAATTAATTGATTTGTGTCCCAGCATTCTTCCTATGACGCACCGCTGCGCATGCTCATTGTGCTCTTGCGCCGCCTTTGACCCGTTTTTGTGCATCCACATTTTGGTGTTTCTATACCACGCGTCAAAGGCAGCAAAGGGGCGGTGTTGCCTATGGAAAAATCTCGGGGCACTCTCTACACCAATGAACCGCTAGTTAACCTTTGCTGGTCATGTACCAAGACAGTTATCTCAATAAACGGAAAAAATATATAAACAAAAAATACATTCACTCACCCAGAATCGATCGTGATTACTTCCACTGGTTTAGGAGTCTCAACTTCGATCATCCGATATGGAATGTAATTGGGAAGAGGTGGTGCAATAGCTGTTTTGGTATCCTGCTTGACATCATTTCTGGCTGTAAGCCTGCTTTTCTTTGAAGGCTGTGGTGGATCCCCGCTGCCACTGGCATGGTTCATCTTCTCTCCATCCAGATGATGAGGTGATGAGCTGAGGCTTTTATCAAAAGTCAAATCTGTATGTTGCGAAAGATGTTCTCGTTCGTTCGAAAGTACAGCTTTGTTTGGGCATCCTATTTTCGAGTAAGGAGCAGTGCGGCCTGGATCCATATTGTCTGAGTGATTTTGTACAGGAGAAACTATAGAGTTGGTCAGATTATACATTGAGTTCCCTTCTCGAGGCACTTCGCAATCCACAGGTTTTTGAATGTTCGGTGTCAAACCATCACCGTCAAAATGATAGTTCATAGACTGAAGCGTTTCCAAAGTCGCTTCATATGCAGGACTATTGGAGGCACTGGCTCCCCGACTAAGATCTTGCACACCATCGTTGCTATCTCCATATGTAAATCCTAAGCTGGACGAGCTTGCCGACATATTGTGGCTCGTTTTACTGGACAATGGACCAGAATCGTATGCCATGCTCTCGTCCGAGTTCATCAGTGGTTCGTAAGCAGCAGCCATTGCGTCAAAACTGGTCAGAGTATGCCCACTTTCTGACTGTTCTTTTGCACCAGCGACATCTCCCTGATTCAGTGGTATGGATGAGGAATCCTTATGTATTTCAGGCTTGATTTCATGCTCGACGCGTATAGTCTTCACATTCGCTTCCCCAGGCGAAGTGTGGTTCGACGACATGGTCAAGTCACCAACTTTTCTAGAACTTTGTTCCTGTAAAAAAGCAAAAATGTCATTGACCCTTGATCATCAATCTCCCTACTTCCTCATCACTTACCGAACTCGATGCTGTCATCATATTTGGATTGCGCGATGGTTTCTTCAAAGCGTCGCCCTAAAATACTACTAGACAAAACGATTCTCCGGTCGAACAAAAACCAAAATCGTGTTTGCAGAAAACGACGCAGTTCACAACACCATTATACAGATGTTCCTTTTGCAGTGATTACGTAGATCAATGCTTTTGCAATATGTGAACTTCTTCGTTTAAAATGTGTAATTCGCTAAGGCCAGGATTCATGCGATTTCATGGCCGGGATCCTTCCAGCAAGACAAACAGTTACGAGTCAATTGCATTCCGATCATCTTGCATTTCGGTTGTGATAGTCAGTCACGATTGGTCGCGTTGGAGCTGTTGCATGCAACAAACTCGTAAGTTTGTTTTGTAGGAAGAATCGCGGCGATGAAATCGCGTGAACTCTGGCCGAGGCCTGACTGGAAAAAAGCGGCTCGACAGAAAATTTAGCACGACTTGCGGTAAGCGGTGCTACATCCAAGATATTTGAAATATGATAAGGAACATTGGTCCAGTCAAGGTAACATACCATTCTCCTTGCTGTTTCACTATATACACTATCGATTATGCTGTAGATCTTCTGCTTCGCACGCTCTTCTTCCTCAGGCGTCGGCTTCCCATCTGATTTACTTCGCGAAGGCTGTAAATCAAAGAAAACAAAAACTCAAATGCTTTTTGAAGCAAGCATCAAATGTTACCCTTTTTGACTTTTTGCGAGGAGGTTCCGCGACCACATGTTGTTGCTTGTGTAGTGATTCCAAAAACGACGGCAAAGGATCCTTAAGAGAAGACACAATTGTAGATGAAAAATCGAACGTGTCCAGTGGTTTTGAACTCTATTGGACAATATAAATAATCACAGTGTGACAAACATTTTATTCCAATAAGTGGAGCAAGATGTATATACGAGTATAAAGTCACGACTTTTCTCACTTTGATCGTTTTGTATTATTTCAAATGGTAAAATAACCTCATCGACAATCTCTAATGGAGGAATGTCGTACGTGCCAGTATTCTGATGAAGCATATTGAGTGCTACTCGCTTCATCACCTCTAGCCGACGGCACTGCTTCTTCACTTGATAAATGCGTTCACGGAGGCGAACCGATTGCTAAAAGTTGTATATGTAAACAACGTGGAACAGAAAGAGTACACTTCCAATTGTATCATGAATATGACTGATGGAGCCAGAAACTTTGAGAAAATCGAAGCAATCAACAAGATTGTATAAGTGAGTCCAATTCAGGAGAAAATGCCTTGCGCCGAAGTAACAGCTGAGTCAAAATGACGAAAAGAAATGGGAGCTCATAATCCATCCAATATTGGAAAAAGGGAGCAGCACTCAAGAAGCTCAGATTTTTTACTAACAAAATTCCTTTACCTTACAAGGGAAGTGCGTATAGTCGAAGTGGCCTTTTCAGATGCGACCCGTACTGCTTTGAAGGGTATTGCACGGTGATTTCAAATCTGCCTTTCAAATCTGCCAAGCGCCTCTGGACGCCGAGTTATGACCGTTTTTCGGAACGAAAAATGAATGCAGAATTTAGGTAAATTTGATTGTTACAATCTTTCCAACGCTCGGATAAAAGCAACGTTAAGTATTAGCATATTAAACAGAATGTATCCATTGCATAACAGCTCTGATACTTGACACTGACCATTTGAGCAAATTTGGCGATTTTGCTTCAGTTTTGCGCTCAATTTTTTGGCCTGAAAAACGACCGTAACTCGGCGTCCAGAGGCGCTTGGCAGACTTGAAAGGCAGATTTGGAATCGTGCAATACTCTTCAAAGCAGTATGGGTCCCAACTGAAAAGGCCACTTCGACTATACTATCACTTCCTTGTTAGATCAAACGCTCTTGGTTGGCAATGAACGAAAATCCGTTCAGAACTTAAGTGACGCATGAGCTTTGAACTAAAACCTACTTTCTCACAGGCAAACGTGACAGGCTTGATCAGGGCCTGTCAACAGCTGGCACGGGACAAGCTGGATATCGTTTTTGGGGCAAGAAGCAAAGGGGGTTTCGTTTTTGTGGGCGAAGATATACGCAAAATTGGCGACGGCGACCTTTTTTTTAGTCGACGTTTCGTTTTTGGGGGTTTTTTTAGGATTTTAGAGGGGATATCGTTGAGAATCAAAGCGGACTTCGTAGAAATTCCCAAGAGTCAAGGGGGACTTCGTTTTGAAAATTTCCTGGTGCCAGCTCGTGCCGAGCCCTGGGCTTGATGATGACATATGGCTGAGAATATGCTATTTCAAAACTGCCCCAATTTTTGTTGCGTATTTTGACAAGCTACTTCAAAACAACCAGAAAGCGAATGGAAATCACAATGCAGTGTAAACAAAACGAGGACTTTATTAGCCTTATATGTTCCCAATCTCTGTACAAGATATGTACAGATTTTCACAAGTTATCCAAGCAAGCAATTCCGGTTTGTTTTGAGTATACTCAATCTCGTAACCTGTTGTTTGGTTCGTGGAAGCTTGATTTCATGCAAAAATCAAAGAAAATGGCTTACAATAAAAACGTAACTTTTCTCCTTCTCGTTTTTCTCAGTCGAACAACAAAGAGTTTAGCAGTTATAAATAATCGTGCAACCTCGATATTGAAGTTCCATGTCAGATTTTGCTATTATCAACTAATTTCGCGAAAGCGGATCTTCCCAAAGCGATGGGCAATATTTGACAAAAATAGGGTTATACTTCCTGTCAGAACATATGTCACATGAAAATTTATGCACTGCATATTTCTGATGAATTATGGAAAGATGGAGAGTCATAGTAACCATGTCCCATGTTTTTAGCAAAATTCACTCTATACAGCAGAAAAAAAAGACTATAGTAATCAAAAAGAAAACCCAAAGAAAATTTCAAAAACAATCAAGGAAAAACAAACGTGGAAAAACTAGTCATTAATTCAAAAAAATCCGAAAAGGGTGATTCTGCCCATATGATAGGGAGAAAATATCTGCCCATATGATAGGGAGAAGATACGGACACATTTTTTGCAGTCCTAAGATAGAACCAGTACGTATTTGGATGCAAGAAAATGTGACGCAACAAAATGCGAGTATATATGCATGAAACTGCTGAGAATTTGCTGTTTGCTAAGAAAAGCGTTGATTTGATTAAAGGCATACCAGAGCAACATTATCGTAGCACTCTTGAAGAGCAACCATTTTCAGACGATAGCGTTCCTCTTCTTCAGCTTTTGCATCCAGTGGCTCAAGAGCTACATTTGGATCAGCGCCGTCCACAGCACTCATCTGGAGTAAAGCATATTAGAGACCAAATGACTTGATCAACAACCTAAGGCCCTTTCGAAGTGTCTAGAGTGAAATATTCTTCAGTAATCAGCATTTACAAGAGCAATGCCAGAGTGAAAAAACCAACACTGTTCATAGGCAAACATCTCTTATAAACAGCTATTTAATTCAACTAAACACTGTGCTGCTATTCCGAAGTAAGATTTGTTCTTTCTGCGCTGATCTGGGAGGATCCAAACCTCATCTTCAGGTAACTTTTGGGCCTTATGTGTGATTGCCTATGCCATTTTAACTGAACCATCTAACCATTTTGAAATTACGATGTAAATTTCTACTCTAAACCGCGTCAACTTCAGTTCCGTCGCCTTCCTTTCGCCGGAATATCACATTTTATCTTGGATTTAGCAGACCGAAGCCTCGGTGCTGCACAGAGTTTCTATTAGGAAACAACGCGCTTCCAGTTCACATCTTCCATTCCCGCATTGAAAACGAAAATTCGAAAAGAAATTGTGATATTATGACAAAAGGAAGGCAATGAAGCTGAAGTTGACGCATCCTGCTTAGAGTAAAAATCACAGTGTGATTTTCATTCTCTCTATTTTGGGCAAGCATCGTACTCGATGACTTGTACAAATACCAGAGTAACCTCAATCAGTTCGGTGGATTCACTGACAAGGTGGAACGCTTGGCATGGCAAACCATAGCAGTCTCCCTAGGCTGCGGACAAACAAAAAAAATCAAGTTAAATCACTCAGCAATATTATATAAAGTAAAATTAACAAAGTGTGACAAAATTCAAAAAAGGGGCTTCTTCCAATACCCCATATTCGAAAAAGAAAAAAAATCCAAGTTTTGCTCAATCCTCGCACTAATTGAAGAAAAACTTTTCTTAGTCGCTCACTAACCTCTAGATGGTGCAGTGTCGCCGACTTAAATGTGCCATATGTCGACGTGGATGACAAAACAGCCGATTCTTCACCTTGCCAGGGAGTTCGCGACCGTGACGACGTCACGAGTTGCCGCAAGTGCGTAGCGGTAGCGCACGCGACGCGTTCGATAATTCACAGCTGGGTCCTGCGAGCCATTTCAAGTGTGATGTTCGCCGTTCGATCGTGCATAATTCTTTCACTTGTACTCTCCCAGTATAATCTGCATAGCCTGCATATTTTGGATATCAAAAATTGTGTGCTTGATGATTTGCAACGCTTTCGAATGTGATTGCCATTATCACTGTGTGCAAATCGATACACATCGCATTACGCAAGTGTGTTTAGGGCATCTCTTGATTAGTTCTTATGTTTGCAAGTGAACAAAGTCACCAAACTCTCTTGCATTCTCTTTGCGACTTCCATAACTTTGCTTTTTGTGTTTCTTTCGATCAAAATCGCCCTTCATCCATCACCAACATTGCACGCACTTGCATGGAGTAACTTATCTCCGTTTTGGTCGCTATCCGTCGCACTGTTTTACCGATAATGTCTATAATTTCTTCAACCACAAAGCTTATTTTTTTGTTGCACAATGAGCTCCCTTGCACAAAGCAGCTAGATATCTTCCACTTTTTGCAGAATTTCAGACTTTGCAACTCTACGTCTGTGTAAATATATCCGCAGCAGCCGAGTGGTTTTGGGACAACTTCTTTGTTTAGTTTACGGCACTTTTTCTCTTTGTATACTCAATACGGGTTGAATGAAGTACATTCTTTTGCAAAGCAACGCTTTGGAGTACAGTCTATATCTACCACCCTTCGTAGAGTCCTATCGTCAAAGGGCAGTACTATCGTCGTGCAGATTACTCACTTGCCATCGGAGTGAGTCAAGCGGTGACTCACAACGGACAGCCACCGATAAAGGGGGATGTCTTAGCCAGGATGGGCGACTGTCACCACGTTTCATCGTCCTCACTTAGCTCATAGTACGACAGGTCTGACCCGGTTTCTCTCAGTCAGCGAGGTGTTTTTTTGTCCTTTAGGGCCGCTACGATGCGGCAGTGTCCACTCGTGTGCCTGTTAAGGTTTCTGGAGCCAATACAATCTTTCATCCACAATCCAAAGGGGCTTGCTTTGTTTACTTGTCAGCTCATATCGCTTTTCGGCTAGGTGTCCGTTACCAACGAATGCGAGAGTTGTAGCTGTGTTTATTTGCTCTTGCGCGGTCAGTCCGCTAGCGCTGCACCGCATCCGAGAACATTTGGAAGTTCTATTCCTGATGTGACGTCATCAGTCCTGTGCGGACCGACGGCCTTCAGTCGGAAGATATTTAGCATTAGGTCGTGTCGCCATTGTGCAGCATTGATAGTATACTTCTTACCGGATCATTGCCCACATGATGTTTTATCGTTGTTCTGCTTTTTCCTGTCCATTATCGAGGAGTCACCTCGCAAACTAACCCCAAAGCATGCGTAAATGCCAATATTTTTTGCTTTTTACCTTTCGATGTGACAGTTCTCGAATGGACATCAATGTTTCTTAGTATCCGATAACATCTTCACTTTCTATCTGCCTGTTGCTATCGCCGCAATGAATCAGAATAACGAGGATAGTCGATATTACAGTGTAACCACCACGGATGACTGATCGCCTCGCCCATATGTTGGTGTTGGTCACATTTCACTAGTAAATTCATCACATAACTTCTGTTGCATAGTTTCAAATGCGCGTTGGTCGTGGCGTTCGCTGTGAATACCATAGAGAAGAGAAATACCAAGTTTCTTGTGTAAATAACTTCGTGTGAAATGTGTAGCAGCTAGCTATCTAGGCCCACTTGGTTTTGAAAGCAGCAACCGCGCTGTGTGTCATCTTTTCGTCTTTGCGAACATTCCCTTTTTGCTCTTCCATTATTTGTCTAGGAGGTGTACATACATCTGTAAACACTTGTGTATGTTTACGTATCCTCGATACTTGTTTTTTTTTCAAAACCTGCCGTTATGTAGCATTTGCTTATAGGCCTCATGGAGGCGACGGCTGAACACGACTTCAATGCTAACGCCGACGATGAGCTGAGCTTTCGACGCGGCCAAATCCTCAAGGTTGGTCTGATTGCTCTAATGGTCCTTTTATTTTGTTCCATTGTCCACTTATATTCATTTGATTTTATTTAGCTACCTACTTTTACGCCTACTGCTTACACTCTTAATCTGGATACCCTTCGTTGCATATCGTTTTCCTTTTCAGGTTCTGAACAAGGATGAAGATCCGCACTGGTTCAAAGCAGAAATAGATGGCGTTGAAGGCTTCGTTCCCTCCAACTATATTCGAATGCACGATAGCCCATGGTGTGTTTGGAATGCTATTAGCCTACAACCAAAGAAAATAGAGACTTGTTCTGGACAAAACAAACATTCCCAGTTTTTTCTTCGCAATGTGGCCTTACATAAACAGAGTAGAAAGTCTGCAATGAAAGGACCTTGAAATATATACATTTGATTGCGGTGTATGGGTTGCTTAGAGTGAACTCATCAATTTCTGAAGACGGCAATTTAGCAAATCTATGTTCCTTTTCAGGTATTTGGGAAAAATTTCACGATTAGATGCCGAACTATTACTGAAAAAGCAAGGCACTCGCGATGGAAACTTCCTAGTGCGACAGTGTGAGAGCTCTCCTGGTGACTTTAGTATATCCGTTAAGTAAGTTATTTCAAGTTTATTTTCACATTCCTTATGTTTTTAAGTTGTTTCTAATGCTGCTGGTGGCTTCGTTAATGTTTTGTTTGTGCAGATAAGAGAACTATGAGGAGTCTTAGTCTTTTTCCCATATGTGTTTTAATGTACACGTTCACAACTACTCAGCTGTGTCAACAGATCTCGCCAATGTCCTTTCTATTTTCTATTCTTGCATTGCAGCTTGCAAACTCTCTTCATAACATTTTTGTAGGTTTGAAGACACCATTCAGCATTTCAAAGTGCTGCGAGACAATAATGGCAAGTATTTTCTATGGTCAGTGAAGTTCAAGTCACTAAATGAACTAGTCAGATATCACAGGTAAGTGTTATACTTCTTCAAGCATTTTCAAAAATAATAATTGTTTGTGGGAATGTGCACAATTTCTAATATTATTGTCCCGCTCGTCGGTTATTTTTACCTTATCATGACGTTACTTGTTCCAAATCTGAGAAGCATTTATTTGATATAAGCGCATTCTTCGTGCTGCAATCTTCGGGCTGCTTTTCGTTAATCATCTGCATACCCAAAGGAATTAGTGATGCTGAAATTGTTTCACATGTCCAAGCACTTTGTTGTTGTTGTAGTAGAATTTCTTATCCATTTGTGCAATAACATGAACTGTTCATGTAGTGATTGGCTTCATAGTGGAATAATGCGTTGCATGTATGCAATTAAAACGGAATGCGGGTCGCTAGAAGTCCCCCAACATATACAAGATTAGATAGATTAGGGGTCTTGTTCGAGGGGTTTAAATCCCTGCTTTAGGCTTTGGAACTAATAGTACAAGCTATGTAGAACCGTCTTTGCATATTTCAGAACTGCCTCTGTGTCACGTACACATACAATCCTCTTGCAAGATCTGGATTTGGAAACGAAATTCGTGCAAGCGTTGTTTGACTTCAATCCTCAAGAGGAGGGAGAACTGCCATTCAAACGCGGCGAGATCATTACTCGTGAGTTGAAACGCGTTATTCTTCTCCGCTTTCATTTTGATTGATGAGAAACGAGGAGATTTGGGGCAAAGCAGTTAGGACTCGTCGTTTATGTGCCAGTTTTCTGAGTAAATGGGTAAATATGATACCTAGGCGAAAAGAATATAGACAGATTAGTCTTAGCAAGTTTCATGCAATGCTTGCTTTGTCAGCAAAGATTGCGCATCATCAGGGTAAAGTTTTTCCTTACTTCGGGCGATATTGACAACCAAATTGTACTATTGCTGGAGAATCAGATTTTCTAGAGCGCGTTCGTTTACGCGTACGTAACTGACTCCCTATTTCTCAAAAATCTTTATTGTAGTAAAAGAAATAATGTACCACATGGTTTCGCGTATTGCATGCCATTGCAAACGTTTGATTTATCCTTCGAGTATCTATTGTGCGGCGAAGAGATAATGTACGGAACGCTTTTGAGCTGTAACGTGATTCTGAGTACCTTCGCAGTTTTTACCTAAGAAATGATAGCAGCTGTTCATGAACACTTTTTATCCTTATCATTGATTAGATGTTTTACAGTGATCAACAAGGATGACATGAACTGGTGGGAAGGTTCGCTGAATAATAAGCGCGGCGTATTCCCGGCCAACTACGTATGTCCCTTCAATCGCTCTCCATCCAATACGTGAGCAGTTTGGAGTGAAGCATTGATGAGAGTTCTATGAGTTGTTTTCTTGTCATTATGAGTTCCGATAGGTACTGTTGTGCTTTTCTTCATCAAAGCACCATGCTCTCGCTCACGCATCACTAGTAAAGAGGGCTGTATAACCGTCGCTCTATGATCATACGGTCCAAAAAAACATGAGATTGTCACATTTCTATGGTGTAAATCAACTGCATATTGTTCCTTCACATCTTGTCGTTTTATAGCTCACAAGTTTTTTCACAACTTTTTACATAATATAGATTGTATAGATCTGGCATATCATACTTTGTGCATGTTCCAGTAATCAGTTCCAGCAATTACGGTGGTTCCGCATTGCCAAGTTTGTGTATTGCTTGTTATTTCTGTTTTATCTATCTCCTTTTCGGGGCTCAACTCGTTTCATAATCAGTCATCCGGCCAATTTTTTTTTTTTGCAACATTCGTGCGTCCTTGTTTTGTGTAATGCATTGCGATGAGAGTTAGGCGTCTATAAGTCAGGTGAGAAGACTATCACTGCGTCTAGAAGTTCAGATGAGAGGAAGTCAAAATTTTCTTAGCAGTTATTCGAATCTTTATTGATTAGCGCGCAGTTGAGAGATGAACGCTTGGATAAGCCCGTTCTGCTTGCGCCGAAGGTCCGATGCACTATGCTAATGCATTCGAACGGGGCACGGCGGTCCCAAATGAAGGGATCAACGCGCCGAACAGGTCAACAACATTTGCAGCCACCAATTTAAAATTAAGTCTTTTCCTCCCCGCATTCATGTGCTGCTTGCTATCTTTCCAAGATCCTTGCGTATTATCATTTTGCTTCTCTGGCTGTCCGTCATCCGGCATCGCTATGCATTAAGCAATTCGTATATTCGTGTCATACAGAGTCCTCTTCACACCTTTCAAGCCCACTCATACATGTCCAGCATTCTTGCGACCATTGCCGTACTTATAATTTGTATTTGTAGATCCATGTTGCTCAAGTGGTCCCCTTGAGCCATATCGTCTTGTTATGCGTTCAGCTATAATCACCATGAACTTTGTGTTCGTTTTCACTAATAACATTTTCAAATTCCTAGTTGGTGTGTTTTGCTTTAACATCGTTTGTAACACTGCAGTAGAAACAGTTATTCAGTTATGCTGGACCAATGCTTGATAGAAAATACGATGCTGTTTTTAGGCAGCATCATAATGATGCTCCGATTGTGCTCTCCTATTCCCTTATTACTGTGCTTCAAGTTGTGTGCATATTTATTTGGAATGAACTTCCAGCTCTTTTTCGAATGGTTTGTTGCAATTGGTTAATACAACCACAACATTAAGCAAAATGCGGTACCTTCTTTGTACCTGGAGCTCGCTTTTCATTAGCTCGTCACAGTTTTTGCTGAATGCCAAGTACCGGCATTTATCGCTATTTCTTGCAGTTTTCTTTATTGGACGCGATAATCTTAAGTATTATTTTCTGTTCATTTTTTATAACGAGTCATCTTACTAGAGATTGAATGCGATTTCCAAGTGTTCTAGTGTTCGATTTCCAGTTTCCAAGTGCTGCGCTCAAAAAGTATCGTGAAGTCAAAGAGTGAATGGCTTAGTAATAGTAAAAGTTTGCATGCTTGTGCAATCCACATGACCCAACAACAACTATTTGAAGGGAATAAGGATATATTTTCGCCAAAGGGAGGACCCACGCGGACATCTGCAACAAGTACGTCATTAAAAGTTTGTGCCAGCTGTCCGGGTGGGGCCTATCAGCGCGTGCTGTCTTCTGCCCAAGCCTGTATGACGACATTGCCTCGAGAGTGTAATATACACCATTACAAGCGTGTGACTTAGCACGTAGAAAGTCGATAGTCTCAGATTTGTTTCTAGAACCCCTTCGTGGTGAAGTGACACGACGGCAAACTAGAGGGGTGGGCGTAGGTGTAAAGCCCATAAGTAAATTCCTACAACAATCTTTTCCTACAAACACCCAATGCCTGAGGATGTATGGCCGGTATGTCAGTCCTATAAGTTCTATCTCATTGTCCTTGCACTCTTCTTTTGAACTTCAGGCCTGAAACTTGCCTAACCCCTTGAAAATGGGTTTACAGTGAAAATTTTGTGGCAATCTTTTACCTTTATTTGGTTGAAAATGTGGGCGTTTTACTGGCGAAGAAATTAACCAGATTTCGGCATTGGGTATTCGTTACTTTAGAGTTTGGTACTACGAACCGGACCCGAAGGTCCTGAACCGTATCGAAATTATTGAACACAAGCCTAGTAAACGGATTGAATGAACGGAAGCCTCACACACTGCAGAGGAAAATCGAGCGCAAACAAAACCTATAGCTGAGATGTATTTTTACCAACGAAATGTTGTACTTCTCGGCTCGGAGTTTTGTCAAAAAACAGTAAAACTTATCAAGAAGGGAAATGAGTATGCGCTTTTGAACGTTCATTCACGGAGTTGCACATCACAGGACGAGAACACTTGATAAAAAAAATACACATCAAGAATGTGATGTGCATGAAGAAAAAGAGGAAGATTAAAGGTGGGGTATAGGGCTCATAAGACAACAAGGTTGCGCGACGTTGTGGTCCCGCAATACTTGTAGAGTTGGAAACAATCCAAAACTCTGTAACTGCGTAAATTTAAGCGTTGGGGCAGTCGTTTGTACAACTTCATTTGAATGATTTGTGGATACAGCTGGACCCCAGCTGGTGATCCGATAAAACAAAACAAACAGGAATTCAGTTGTTTGAAAACAGAATTGTTTGAAAACAGAGTTTTATAATGCATTAGTTGAGGCCGGTTTTGTGGTCTTAACAAGGGCATTACAGCATAAAGGAAACCTGGGGTCCGCCTGCCAAAGGTGAAATGAAGAAAAAGAAACTTGGAGGTTTTACAGGCCGCCAAGTTCTAGCGGCAGGGTGATCAAATAAAACGGTCGCCGCTCAGAACCGAGTGAGATGTCTGACCTTCGAAAATCGATAAAGTATGTAATATATGATGTATTGCAATTACGGGCAACCTACGAGAGTATCGTTTTTCCATAATTATTCGATGCTATCTTATGGATCGCTTCAGCGTTATTCAATCAACGTCTCTCATCACTTGGGATTTTCCATGTGCTAGTGACAACAGGACGTTTAGAGTGGTTGTCAAAAGCTTTTTTTCTTCTTTATCAGTGTGTTCTATTTACGAAGATATGGGACTTCTTTATTTTTTTGAGTTCTAATTTGTTTTATGTACGCTGCTCGTTTATAAACTTATGAAGAGAATTGTAAAGTCAGATAGTTTCCGTTAGCAAATCTCGGAAATCTAGTGATGGTGCATCTTCTTTGAGCTGAAAATAAACATTGTTATCATATAGGAAGAAAAGTAAACAAGCACTAAACAAATAGTTTTCTTCATAGATTTATGCCAAAATAAATAGTTTCAACTGGTTAAGGAAATTGCTCAATATATAATTTTCTGTCGTAGTCAGAATCATCTCCTCGTTATATACCTCTCGCTCAAGTTTCAGAAACGATTTTCTTGATTGTTTCTTGTTTGTAAGGACATCCCCAATTGTGGGCACAAACGGCTGTCAACAATGATAACCTTTCTTCTTATGCACCAAAAAAAAATTCTACGCGTCTTTGATTTCTGATAAAAGTGAGCCGCTGATGATTGATTGTCATCTAAAATTTATTTTCAGTGAACTTTTCTCTGAACACGTATTGCAGATATAGACGATTGTAGACAGTTATTGACCAGTGTTATGGATTGTTTTGAGAACGTAAATGGATTTGTTGAACCTTGTCAGATGGCAAGTCCAAAAAGAACGCTGGTTTTGCTTTCATTCTATATATCTAACTGGATGTTTTTCTTTCCTGTATCCCTCTCTTCGTCTACGAATCGTTATTCATTCTTTTCCAAGATAGTCCCTTTCCAGGGAGAATGATTTTCAATCCGGACCAACCACGATTCGATCAGTCTACGTTATATGGGCGTTTACGACATTTCGCCGGCGTCACAGATCCATTTATCGCTTTCACGCCTACTTCGAAACTTTTGCAAGCGAAGAGTTTGATGGAGAAATGCAGGTGAACACAAACAAAATATTCATTCGAATCGGTCACGTATTACTGTGGGTGCTGACAAAGGGAAGGCACCTGTGCTTTTACCTTTCATAAGAGTAATGAGCCCAGCAGATTCAACGGTCAGTATAGTGTTCTTGGCCTACAACATTTGCGCGTAAGCGACTTCAATGTGCGTTCCACGGGCAGTTTTACGCGGAAGTAGCAAGCAAACTGTGACATTTAGCGTGGAGTCGTTGACCGCTCGGATTGCTTAAACGCTGCGGACCACGCGCTGCGCGGCTGAAATGCGAGGGCACGACTTGTATATAGGGGCCTGCAGGATCGCGAGAGTCGGACGTGCGTACGGCCACTGCGCCGCGCACGTCCGATGTCACTAAGGCAGGTGCCAGACTTATCCACTTCAGCCGGTTCGTTCGGTTCATAGGTCAAATCACTACGCTGTCCAACAGCAAAAGTGGTGAACCGAGTGAACCTGTTCAAGAGGATGTCTGGCACTTACCCGAGTCGTCGGTCGCACATCTGACGTTCGCGGCGCAATGGCCGTACGCACGTCCGACTCTCGCGATCCTGCAGGCCCCTATACTTAGAGGCGCTGGATTTGCAATGGTGAGAATACGCGGATAGGATAGGCTCAAGCTCCGCAGTGATGTCCAGTCAGTGCGGTCAACGACTACAATACAAAACTGTATGTTCACCCTTTTACATGGTTATACGATATAGCAGTAAGGACTGGATTAGCCGTACAATCTACTAGGCTGTATGGTCATCAATATCAAGAAAACGCGAGTTGCGAGATTCAGTAACGTTTATGTTGTGACTGAAAGCTATAGGCTGTCTCAATGAAATCGCAGCTTCAGCGACTAGGGTGTCGCGACCGCCTTGCTTGGGCTCCGCAGGGCACTCTCACGCCTCAGCAGCTGAGATCTGACACTCTCCTTGAAATTGCCTATAAATGAAATTCTTCGTACTTGTGCACACAAAGCCCCACTGTATGAGCGAAAGGCCGTGTCTCAACTATTATCCTGGGCTAACTGGCAAGAATACTAGGCGGCACGTGCGGATTAGCTTATCCTTAGTGTAGTTAACCGACACGTACCATAGTAACCGTAGTTGACGACAACGCCTAATTTTGCTTGGTGGCGCTGTGGGACGACGCGATTTTGCACAATTTGGTTTTGTGCTTATTTATGAAATACAAAGTTGTTTTGTAAACAACTTTGAACCTTTTCTTGAACGACGGAGCCTATAGGTCCCAAGAGTGCAAGAAATCGGAAAAAATATGAAAATGTGGAGAAAATACTAGACCTGTGAACGGTGATCACATCGTCCCTAGGAGCAAAAAGTGCTTAGACTGGTGGTCCACATCTTCGTAAATGAGTTAAGGTCCTCCTTGTACGTGTGAGAGGGAGGGTAAGTCTCTACAAACATTTCCTTTCTCTCGAAAAGATAAATTGACCTTGCACTTACCTAATCATCATTAACGGTTTCAGGACAGCCGAAAAATTACCGGCCACCCTTCCAGAGCTGCATCGAGCACAACGACTCTATCAATCAGCGTTCCATCCCGATACAGGCGATTTGCAAAACTTTGCAGGTCGCATGTGTTTCAATGTTTGGGGAGGAACGATTCTATGTGGTGCTATGTTGATTTGGTAGGAGCATTAAGTTTATAGACATATGCAACGTCTGTGAAATCAGAATCGGTTGTTTTGGGTATAAATCGACTCCTGCGGTCGTATTTTGGCAATGGGCAAATCAGTCTTTTAACGCATTGGTGAACTACACTAACAGAAATGCGAAAAGTGCTATGACAACCAAGGTTAGCCTTTTCATTCAAGAAGTTTTGAAACGCAAAATCTTGTGGGACTGAAGTTTCCTCTGAGAAAATTTTATTTTAGACAGGTAAAGCAGACTTGATTGAAGTCTTGGGAAAATGTAAATTACAGTCAATGTCAATTACGTGCTCCCTTTCACATGGGAACTACGCATGCGCAACGCAAGGGCTCTGCGTGCGGACCCCCAATCGATGAGGCCATTTTGAATGCCAGCCATATGCGCGCGGACGTGGCGCGAAACTCATTGCGCTTGCAGAAAAGGGAGCACATGATTGACACGGAGTGTACCTATTCTCTCGATACAACTTAGCAACTGGAAAAATTCTTAATTCAAAAAACATATTTCTTTGCAACCTTTAGGGATGGTTATTGTGCAATTTCATCGTCTAAATCTGCTATCAACTTCAGGATTTGCTGGTGGCTTACACGACCGCTGTTGGCGGTGCCCTAGGAGTTGCAATTGGAATGAAACAATACTTTGCAAAACGACAAGTCAGCGTTTTGATGCAGAAAATGGTTCCATTTGTGGCCGTCGCTGTTGCAAACGCTATCAATATTCCACTGATGCGGCAGAAGTATGGATTATTTTATATTAAAAAAAACGAAACTTCCGAATGATTGCCGAGTCACCGGACTATAATCTGCATTGTTTTTCTTTGAGCTTTGAATCATCAAATAGTCAAAATTCGCTATATCGATCAACAAAGCGCATCTTATCTATCGTCCAAAAAATTGCTAAGTGGTAGTATAGAATATCTTAGAGCAAAGCAGCTTCTCTTACTTTCAACTGGGCGCGCCAAATAATTCGTTGCGATAACGATGTAATGTTCACTTTTAATCCGCTTTAGTCCGCATTAATCGTAATTCTACCCCCCCCCCCCCAAACTAAGTGCACTGTGTGAAATGTACAGAAACTTCGAAAGTCAAGCATTGTGGTAACCGAGCCCTCTTATAGCTACATTTTATTTCCCGAAGGGTTTTCGATCCGCAATTGCACTATGTGACGTGATGTATAGTCCAGTCGCAGACGATTCGCATTTAAAGCAGAGATCTGAGCCTAACGAAAAAAATCTACAGGTACTCGTTTTTACTTGTGAACAATTAAAATACTTTCTTAGATTCAATTAGTTCAATTTCGTCACGTGAAAATTTTACTTTTGGAAATTGTAAGGACCCAAAAGTTCTGGAAAGCCCCTAAAGAATTCCTCGGAGCGCGTTTGCCATGCCCCTCTATTCGAAAAGGAATACTGTCACACTTCTCCCCCGAATTTCTTGGACTGCTGGCATTTGGCATACTTATACATAGAATTTATGAGAGTTTATGGAGAAACTTCTTTTTTGAATCTTCTCGTATCTTGCTATTTGACAAGTTAAGAAGAGCTGCAATTTAGTCGAGATGATTGGCACGTATGAGAATCCTCATTTTGCAGTGTTGCTTTTGCATAGTATTAGGTTGTCTCATAAGTTTTTTCAATATTGAGTTTCTAAAGCAATAACTCAAACACTTCTCAATCCTAATTATAATGCAGGGCACCGTTCAATAAAGCAAAGCAAGCTCTACAAGATGGCAAGTAAGTGTTCGCATCAGCTTCAGCACATTGCGAGTTAGAAGCCGAAATATGAGAACTTCCGGATGCCCGAAAATGAAAATTTCCTATAATTCCGTCCAAAAGAAAACCTACCGGACCACAAACGTGCTCACACATATACACCCCACAAAACACATTCATAAGTGCCGTTGCTGTGTTTGCTTCTGTACTAGAATCCGAGAAAACTAAGATTTTCATGTTTCCAAAAAAGCGATGCTGCGCTGTTTTCACACAGGTAAATGTATACTACAGGTCTTTGGTAATACATCGGTAAATTTTCAGCTTCCCGGAAGTGCTAGCTCTTGCGAAATACCAAATTTAGCATTTTTTGCTAAAGTATATAAAATTACCATTTCTCCGTGATTAGAGCCTACAGAAAGCTGGAAATTTGTGATTGTACTTCTAAAGGCATGTAGTATACATTTACATTTGTGAAAACAGCGCAGCATTGCTTTTTTGGAAGCATGAAAATCTTAGTTTTCTCGGATTCTAGTGCAGCTCTACAAGATGGCATGTAAGACCAACACAGCAACAGCACATATGAATGTGTTCTGTGAAGTGTATATGCATGAGCACGTTTGTGGTCTGGTAAGTTTTCTTTGAACGGGGATATAAAAAATTTTCAATTTTTCGGGCATCCGAAAGTTCTCATATTTCGGCTTCTAACTCGTAATGTGCTGAAGCTGGGCGAACTCTTACATGCCATCTTGTAGAGCTTGCTTTGCTCTACCGAACGGAACCTTGCATTATAATCAGAACTGAAAAGTCTGTGAGTTATTGCTTCAAAATTCAAAATTGAAAAAACTTATGAGACAACCTAATACGTTATTAAGCCTGGAAGATTATTTGGATCATTTTCAGTTTTGGAGTCGCAATACTTTTATAGAGCTGTGGCTGAATGCTTTGTCATAAGTGACTTATGCAATTGCTGAAAATAGATTTGATACGAGGATTGTATCAAATGGAAATTCGAAGTTTCCATTTATGTTCGTAATATATGATCCAATGACGACTACCACTGTGTAAATCTATTCTAAAGATATTTTTTGTTTCAGCGAACTGAAAAATGGCATGAAAGTGTCGGATTCCGATGGAAATATCGTGGGAACGTCACGAGCAGCTGCTGCCAAAGGCATCTCCCTCGTCGTGCTTTGTAGGAACATCATAGCCGCTCCTTGCATGAGTGGGTAATCCAGGAATTTTTGACTAAATAACCCTAGGATTTGGCTCATCATTTTCCTTTTCAGTTGGCGTACCTGTCATCATTGAACGTTTAATGAAAAAGCCTTGGTTCATAAGAAACTACAATATACTAAACATTCCTATCCAGCTAGTCCTCACATTTGTCATGTTAGTCATGCACATTTTTTTAAACCAACTCTTTTCTCAAGTAAGCGTTTTTAGATACGGTCCGTCGGTACCGGTTGGTTGTGGACTGTTCCCGCAACAGAAGTGAGTTATTGTGTATTTTGACTGCGGTGAAAGCTAGATTTATGCGATACTAAGCGCACATGTGACTCGTAAAATCAACAGAGCATTATTTTTACCTGTCTGGTTTTTTGAGTCAAAGGGCAGAAAGATTGTAGAAAATCAGAAATCACTGACGCGTAGGCAGAGTCTTGAAAACATCGAAAGGTATTGAGATAATGTTTGTGCATAATCAGCTTATAAGCGAAATGTTTCCAAAAAGTCGCAGTGTTCTATTTTTCGTCTATCAAAGTTCGTGAAATATTATCGAAATGTGGTTTTGAATTGTAGGGAAAATGTTTCGGTGACAGAAGTTAATGAGAATATTTTCCATGTCCTTACAATTTGGTTCCAAATTTTCAAGCTTTTGGGCATATCTTGATGACTGTTGCTGCGCTGACGATGTCCCAATTTTTCTACAGTATGCTTTTTTCAATATGCAAAGCTTGACACGATTAAAGTTGAATTGAATTGATTAATGTTGTACGCGCTTTTGCATCTGTGCCGCGTGTGCGACGTATTTGAAGGCGTCTGGCACGTTGCCAAATCGCGCGGAGACCGAGATCGCGCGAGGTATGCCGAAAACCTAGACGCATTTTCCATAAAATTATTTTGAGAACTCATTGCATAGGATTCTGACTATGAATAACATGATATAGTAGTATGAAAGGCCAGTCCTTTTGAAGTTATCCATTTCAGTTCCATCAAATTGACTACGCTGAAACGGCTTGAACCTGAAGCGTACAAGCAACTAAAGGATGTAAAAGGAGATCGGGTCTTCTTCAACAAAGGACTGTAGATTTAATTGAAACCAGTGAATAGCTGTAGATTTACAAAGATCCCAGTGAATAAGTAGCCTTAATGCAGATGAACTTTGGCCAATTTTATTCTGGAGACAAATCACATCAAGTGTACAATGTTCTGTACATAGTTATATACAAAAGGTAACAACGACCATGGAAGTGACGTACGTACATCCCGCTATGTACAACAAATGTACAACCATATGTGCTATGGGGCTCTGTATACGAGGTGCACAACAGCACACAGATTGTGCATTGGACTGACGTTTCGAGATATTCAGAATACCTCCGCACGCCATAACAGTAAGTTCAGGATGAATCACACTATGCGAGGGGGAGAACAGTTAGAGTGTGTGAACTTGGCTAGTCTAGGGCATGGGTTTGTGAGAACGAGCTCAGCTCTACTGTCTCAACGTGTGCGTAGACACAGTGGGCGCACACATGCGAATGTTCTGACGAAGAAAATGAACGAAAATTGGGAATAATTTGAGGGACAAAATAATTTCGTAGAATCGTCCAGCGACTAGTTGATCGGACCTGCTTTTAGATCTTTCGCTCTTTGACGAGACGTTTGCAGACGGCAAAGCTGAAATGGAGATCTTTAGTTACAAGTGCAGAAAGTCTCATCAAATTTCTTGATTGGTAACACAGGGTACTGAAGTCCATGTCCGGGCAAAACTAATTATCTATTCCTTATATAAACTTGTAGCATTAGAATTAACCCATCGCCCAAACAACTGCTCCTATAATAGGATTCTGACTGAGAAACTCAACTTTGAGCTCTCGCCCCACTAACGACTCTTTCCAAAACCAGCCAGCTCAAATACGGTGCTGGACCAGAGCTCAAATTAGTTGTTCAGTGATAGACCTGCTATCTCTTAAGCCGCGGATAACTGAGGCTTAACACCACCTATGACGCTCTGGCCTTTGCCTGCCGCTGAATTTAAGCTAATAAAGATAACCTCAACAGCCTCAGCTCATTTGATGTATCATAAGAATTCATTTCACATTTCGGTTGGTAAAGGAAGTTCCAAATGGGGTTATTGTAGGAAAGATTATCAGAAGATAAGAAACTGAAAAAACGACGACGCGAAACATGAAGTCAGCAAAAACAAAAAAATGTTGTCAGTTGACAGTAACAGTCAATCATAAAAATAAGTCCTCATAATCTTTCTACCCAACAAGAACAAGGGAATTTGTTGAAAAATGTATTAGCGCGCACAAATTACGAAATGGCCCTCAATATTCTACTCATTCTAATCCTTCAGCAAATCCCTTTGATATACTTAGCACTATGCCCTTCAGGAAATTCGTGCTCAATCATGTCAAATTCTTTTACAACAGAGTAAGCAAATATGCAATAATTAAACCACTTCTCCTACATTTTTGGTACCTGATGTTTTGCAAAAATCACCCATGTCAAGGAATCTTCATACCGAAATAGTGGGTGTATTTTTTATTCGGATCTCAGCGCAAATTCGGAACCAGTTTTGCAATATTTGCACTCGAAATTTTAAGTGGCAAGTAATTCGCTATCATTGGCACAATATCTGAATTATTCTCGACCCTACAAAATTGTAAATGAGACATTTGTCAGTTTCTCTCCCAAAGAACGGATAGCTGAGTGGCAGTAAAAACCTGCTGTTCTTTCGAAAGCAAAAAACAATGATTGTAAAGTACAGTATCCGAAAACTAACCCAATGGCTGCTCCAATGACAAATGTTATGACATTCGAGACGATAAAGCTAACGACAACCGTTAGAGACATGGATTTCGGTTCGACATCGTATGCGAATACGGTCATAAGCTCAGGTTCAGGCGAATTAGGTGGAGTGGTCAGGTTTGAACCATACTGCCTTACGCGAACGCATCTAAAACATTTAGTGTAGAGGTCTGCATTTCTACTCAACCGTAAATTACTATACAAAAAATACTACAGAAATGATACCGTAACCTACTTAGGCGGATATGCTTCAGGTCTGCTGCTCCAATCCCATATCCAATCGTTATTCTTTCCAGCCGGCATCATATCACGAACCAAACGAAATTTCACTTGTTCCAAATTGTCAAATTCCACATGCGGAGACTGTACAGAAACAGGACTGAAAGTGCTTTTTTTGGGTTAAGCTCAATATTTTCAGTCCTGTGTGAAAGACCAGAAAATTATAAATTTCGCCTTGAACCAGTTTACAAAATAATCGCAAAAATCAGGGAAGCCGTTCATGTGCCAGTGGTCTGTGGCTAAACGAGAGAGAAGTTTCCAACTACATTCATTTTCTATTAACGTTATAATAGAAGGAAATATTCGGAACTATGAAGAACCACAAGTGATCGAGACCCGAGCTCTTAAATAAGTAAAAATTGGATTGGAAAAATTCAGATTATAAACTTTCAAGAACTCCGAGATCAATGATGACGCTCTATTTCCACTATGAGTAACAGAAAACAAGTTATTATTCATTCATAACTTAAATTTAGAGCTCTTTCAGAAGGTCTCTGAATTATTACAAGAACCAGCTCTATGCACTATGCGTTCCAAAACTTTTAAAATTCCGAAACTTTTACACAGCATTTTTATTCAAAGTAGAACTTCTGTAAACCATTCCCCTTTTTCACCCACCTCCATGTTATGAATTCCGCAACCAAACATCAGAATTTCTAATTAGCGGGAGGTAATAAAATTACCTCAGCCGAGAATCCTTGTCCTTATGTTCATCTACAAGAACCATTGAGGCGTCGACGCTACTACACAAGCTTGCCCTACTTGGTGCCAGCTCGACCCATGACTCTACAAAACTCATATCTGCTGTAGGATGATATCCGCGAAGTAATGCAATACAGATTTTATTCTCAAAAGTTGACAAAATGTTTGAAAAAGCACTCACCAGAACCAGGCATACTGTCAGCGTCCTCGAATTTCTCAAACGCTCCAATACGTTTTTTCACATCGAACATTTTTGGTTTAGAGAAATCAAAGAATGACATCGTGTACCCGTTCACTGTAACATACAATTCGTAACTGGTATATGCAAGGTAAGACAGTTTTGTGTAAGTAAATTCGGAACAATGATCGAAACGACAACCGTCAGTGAGTCGATGCGAGTAAGTGGTAGAGGGGCGAACCGAACATGATTGCAAAACGATGAAAAACCGTACACGAAACAGCTTTAGAACTCATTACATTCGGGGTACGATCGTTTGGGAACGAGGAAATGGTCGTCACTCGAAACAGAGGTCGTGATTCCAGAGCAAAATCGGATTTCAACGCTTTGAGCCTATAGTTCAGAAACGAACGATTTGGCGCCTCAAAGAATGCCTTTTTTTGCGCCGAAATCTGAAGAAAATCGTATCAATTTAGGGCTTTATTCTTCAAATATATTGAAGATTCCACAAGATTGAAATAAGTCTCAGTAACAAGAGTATATCGTGACGAGTCGGCGATAATTTCTTTTAGAAAATACCAACAGCGTTCTTATGGAAAACAAACGCAAGATTTGGAAATTTCAAAATCAGTACCGTCTGCGCTCGTTAGAATCTTTATGCTTTGGAATAGTTAGATCTGCCTACAATAAAACTACGAAAAACCAGCTCTATTGGGAATAAATCACATTTATAATTTTTCACAGCCAAAGATGAAGAGCAGAAGTAGTAAATTCAAGTACGGAGAATTATAGGAAAACCTATAGCACTGTTCTGCAAAGGCGATAAATTTGATTAGAAAACGAACCAGTTTCTAAGCTTGATTCAGTTGACCAAACAAAACTTGGTAGAGAAAAAAATTGATCAAACACAGAACGGAACAAAACAGAAAAGAACGCGATTAATTTGAGATGCCGAACGTTGATAGGAGAAGTACAAACAGCCATATCAGATTGAATGTAGTGAATTATAAAACGTAACTAGGACAAAAGAAAGGAAATTGAATTGTCCCTTCATAATAACCGCTTATAAACCCTATAATTCGACTGGAACAACGCAAATATATGGGCAGTCTGACTAGTCTCGATGGCGAGAGAAAGTTAGATAAGGACATGATCGATACACTTATGACATGGGAAAGATAATTGTGATTTTTTAAATTGAGAACAAAACCTATGGGTGAGGTTTTCGGAGCAGAGAGAGGGTATGAATCGATGCTTACGTGAAACATTTCATGCCGATGAAGTGCTGCATAACACATGACAGAGCTACCGTCGATGCAGATGACGATGCTGCTGTGGAGTGAGGCATGATAATGTGAATGAACGGAGGGAAAAAGAAGAAGAAGGAATTCGATGAGAAAAGAAGCGAAAAATAGGGATATTCTGAGAAATTTCCAAGAAAAACGAGAACTGGTCATTCACGAGTTCTGTGGAAGCCTGAATTTCGAGACATAAGAATTGCAGGGGGCTGTACAGGCTAGCCAGATTTGAAAAAAAATTGCTAGACGGAGAATACTTGATTGAATGAGCGTAAGATGGCCGTGCAAGGTTCAGAAAATCCAAAATTATAGCCCTTTAGTTCCCTAGTACTTCCCTACGTTTCTTGCAACGTCTAGCTCTAGCTACAGCTTTTTTTTCTCAAAAAAGAAGTTAAGCTATTGTTCAGCGGAAGTTGCAGCAATTTTAGAAAGAAAAAGTCTCCTGTCCTTGCTCGAAAATATTAGAAAACAGAAAGCAAGCATATATTAATGGCGACATGCATGAAAAGAGTCGGTCGAAACCATGAATATTTTAGAGTTTTTTCCCACAAAGTGGAAACAATGGGATTCAGTTTTGAACGATACATTCGTACAATCAAATAGAGTTGTAACACAAGGACACAGCTAAATCAGAATTGTTGCTGTAAATTATATTTTCTCTTCTGGAAATGTGATGTGAAGAATCGGAAAAGTTATGACATGATAAAGAAATATGTAAGCATTTTTGCAGAAGTTTTTAGTCAAGAGTAGCCCTTATAATGCCATATCTACAAAACCAGACGATATGCCTTTCAAAAAAAAGTTGCCCCGTTTGGCAAAATTCCAAGCATGTCGTAGACGACGCCGTAAGCATTGCCAGTTAAAAAACCGGCTTCTACGGCCATAACAGCGACACTTCAGACGACAAGTTCCAATGCGATTCTTCCCAAAAATCTTATTGTCTCGCGGACATTCATCTACTCGCAAGAAATTGTCACAGACATGTTGCGAAAAATTTGCCAAAAAGTGAAAAAAAAGCGAAAGTGCTCGAGAGCGGTTTGTCGCAACAATAGCAGCACACGAGACGAGTGGTGTGTGAAAAACCGGTAGAGCAATTGAAATTGAGAGAGAAGAGCTTTCGAGCGCTAAAATTTTGTGTAGAGAGCGAGGGTAGGGGAGATGGAATTGGGGCAAATTCATAGGGCCCTGCTGATCGAAACCTTTGGGATATATACACAGCTGTCCGGGAGGGGGATACTGTCATCTCCACGCAGGATATTCTCGTGCAAAATCCATAGTTGTCTCGGCCATCGGCGGCGGGGGGTATTGTGTCACAAGGCGCGCGCATAGGCACGTGACCAAACATGTGGCGGGGACGACGAGGGGCGGGTTCACACCCCGACATCGACGCCGGCTCCAGTAATGATTCAACGGGAAAAAATCGCACTCAGCCGAGGGTTTCGTCGAGGTCCACGTGAAAATCCGCGCGTTTAGCCGACATTTAGTCGAGAGGCTACGTTGTGCGCAACTGCGCATGCAAAAGTGCATCACAATGGGGTGATCTTTTTGCGGTGTCGTGGAAATATTACACTTTTGACTGCGAGTCAGCTTACTCCGGAAATCGGTCTGCTTAAAAAAGTCTGCCATCTAAATCGGGGAATTCACAGTAAATAACCAAAGGGGTAGTCGTAAGGCACGCATTTTTCCAGCTATCAAAAAAAGGCTACAAAATATCTGCAGATAACCGCAGAATCCTTTTCAAATTCAAAACAAAGGTTAGCAAGTAAGCTAAAAATTTGACGCTGTCATCTTCCAAATTTTCTTGATTCTACGTTATACAATACCGCTCGCAGAACTTGCAAAATTTCCATGGATGTCGCGGAATTCCATAGATTACGCGTAAGTCCGCGCGTTTCGGGGATTTTGCAGGATCTATGTACTGTCCAAATCTGAGTATATAAGTAACGAAATCAGCTCGAATTTTTGGGGTATTTTGACCTGTTATCTTAACAATCCAATCTGTACACACTTCATTCCTCGCGAACTAATAACAGGCGTTTCTGGTAACCCTCTCATACATCCGAAAAATATTTAAATTTTCGAAACCTTGTTTTAAAAGTATTTGAATGAATGCCAAACTGGCAATAAAAAAAAATCCTTGTATTTAAATGCCAACTGGCAATAAAGCCGGCAAAAAAATCTTGTATTTGAATGCCAAACTATTAAAAAATTCGCACAGAATATCCCCTTGTACCCTAAAATCAACCGAGTAAACGAATTGGTCTAACCATCGGAACAATGGGTAGAAAACGAGTTGCAAAGAGAAATTTCTTGTTATCACGAAAACTCGTTTGCACATTGGTGATGGATCTCGCCCAGCACGAATCAGTCTGCTATATAAATCTCTTTCTTTCTTGGTATGCTCCCACAAAAAAGGAGAATCTATGAAGGCTCGAGATATATCAAAACAAAGGTATTCGCTGCCGTTTGCTGCATAATAAATAGAACTTGGGAGACGCACAATATCACATGAGCCGCTTATTTGCCCAGGGGAGTACATAGACAATCCATAAAATGTTGATTCACTTACAAACACACATACACACACTGCAGACGCACAACTAGAAGTTTTATTGAACTATTCGCAATGGCCAGCTGTTCGTATATGTGAAATGGTTACACCGAACAAATGTAAAGATCGCGAGAAAGAACGTGATCAATTGCCGGGGGTTTTGCCTTCCATTAAGAGCTACGAATGTGTCAATCACATTGGAAGAAAACGGAGAATTTCGGCGCAGTCTCATTAATTGAGAGATAGAGCGGCGAAAATTGGCAGCCGGGTAACACTTTTTTGTGCGAAAAGTGAAAATTGTAGGCTATCGTAATTCTATCAGCCAGGCCTCGGCACAAATGGCTTTTAGCAAGCTGGATAGCGTCTTTGGGACAAAAAGCAAAGGGGAAGTCGTTTTTGTGGGTCTAAAATTAGGTTTTTTAGTCGAAGTTTTGTTTTTTAGTCGATTCGGATATTTCGGATCAGGGTCAAAGGGCAGTTCGTAGATTTTTTGCGATTGTCAGAGAAGACTTCGTTTTTTGCATTTTCGCAAAGCCACCTCGTGCCAAACCCTGTTACCAGCTCCAAACCATAAGAGTTTATGTTTTTGAAGAAATAAACTCATCAAGAGACTTGCTTCTCCACTCTATTTAGAAAAAGTAACCGAAACGAGAAAACTAACAGCCGGTAACATTTTTTGAAAGTGAAGTCTCATAAGTCATATTTATGATAGCTTCAAAGCATGAGAGCTTATGTTTTGAAATAAACTCATCGAAAAATCTGCTTTTCCATTCATGTAAAGAATGATACCGAACGATTAGAAGAACTTGGTAGGCGAGCAGCTTTTCCCAAGGGAAGGTGTAAATTGTCCGCAACTAAGTTTTTGACAACTCCAAACCGTGAATATTTGCTCTAAAAGAGATGAATTGCAAATCTACTTTCTTTCTCTAGGTAAAAATTGATACCACACTTTTCAAGCTGATAACTAGATAAATTTGAAGGAAACTGAGGTCACAGACAGCTTATTTCAAGAAGTTCTGCATAAAATGTTCGGAAATTTGTCTCAGGAAATTTTGGCCTTCTTTATTCAAGAACCAACATCTTCAAGCTCTCATTTCAATGGAAGATGCAGAACGAAAAATGTTGTTTGCCAGTAAAAAGCTATTTCTATCATAATTAGATTAAAAAATACGACTTTGAAGAACAGACGACTAGACAAGGCGGTGCCTGTCAACAATGAGATGCAACTTCCGGCTGAATAAATGACTCGAACCGGAGTTTTTCCGTTGGTGTGAATTAGACTGATGACCAGACCAGTCTGAAACGACAGCTACTGCAAAATAGGGGCTGTACATACCTATCTGAACCTACAGAAACAAAACACGAGATTTATCCTCGTGATCTTCTTTATGTAAGCAGGGAAACAGCTGAAACTGAACTCGTGATATGTGACCGCTAGAGCTGTCAAAAGTCTGCTATCCAAATGACAGAAGACCAGAAGACAATGCGCAGAAAAAAAGACCGAGGCAACAAAACTAATGGACACGACAGCCAGAGAACAATCAGTGAACGGCAACAAATGGCCCCCGACTTAACACGGGCATAGATGGACGGGACCAACACAGCCAGCTGTGGTCACACACACGTAATCGAGAGCTCTGGACCAAACGAATCGATCTGCACAACAGCATGAGATGGGCAGAGCGAGCAGAACCGAAAGCAGAATGGCGGCCGGAGACGGGCATGAACCAGGGGCTGGAGAGCTATTGCTCGATTTTTGCTCTCACTCGCAAAGGAACGTCCGAAGCTTCGAACAAATCGTGCACATTTCGATGATTTTGCAATAGCAAAAGGCACTCGAGTAGCAGTGAAAGAGAGGGGAAGGTAGAACAATCCGTCGTGTTGTCGCCCGTTCGAACGGCTAACTTTGTTGGACAAATAGTCGTCTGGAAAAACATCACCTCGACGTTGTTTGCCGGTCGAACGTCAGCTAAAGCGCAGCCACATGCGTGTGTTGATCACAGATGTCTTGCGATTTTTTTCTATCAAGCCACTAAACAGCTCATATGAGGAGAAGAAATGACTTGTGTTGTTCCTCAAAGCAATCTGCAGAACAGCAGAATTTTGAAGGCTGTGCCATGTTTTTGTCATTCTGGGGCCTTTCCGTAGCCCTACTTACAGTTACGAAGTTCAAAACGTGCAAAAACTCAACTTAAAAACCCGATTTCTGGTACCTTTTATGAAAACCCAGAAGGCTTTCACTACCTGGTGGGAGGAGCTTGATAAGATTCGGGCGTGGCTTGATAGGAATTTCGCGGTTCGGTCCATCTATCTCCATTCAGAGACAACATTGGAGAACCGACCCAGGCAGATCCCCCTCTCCTGGGACCTACACTCAAGATAGGTACTAGTTGGAGGGGGTTAGGTTTTGCCTGGATCTGCCTCTGAGCGAGGAAAAAGAAATTGAAATCAATCGATAACTAAACATCCCCTACCACAGCGAATAAACAGCAGTATCGCCTTGCAAATGCACATTTTTTCTTATTTTCGCCGCTGCAGATTTATGTAAACAGTGGCAAAAATTTCCCAGATGCTAAATCCATCAAGTCGATCACAAATGATGTCCATAGATTCGTTAAGGAGCTCAGATATGACAGTTGTCTACCCCTTCATTAGCATCAGTGCACAAAGTACTTATGAGACTTGATAAAGGCTGTTCAATCACAATCGGTTAAGATGAGACAAGAAAAAAAGAAACGAAAAAATGAATAGAGCTTATAGGACCGACAGCGGAGTGGTCACGCGCTGAATCCTACTGTAAGGCTCGAAGCGGTAAACCGCACCCCTGCGGTGGTGCAAATACGGAAAAGGGGCCGTTCTTTGTTACACAGCCTATACCGGTAGGATATTTCTTCCAGCTTAAGTTCCTTTGATAATTCTTTGCTGTGGTAAGAATTCTCAAAATAGGCTGCGATAGCACTAGAAACTAACATCAGAACGTCGATTTGATTCCGTAATAGCTAGAATTATACCCAATTTACTTAGGAACACTGGATATACGATAACAGAGCACGTAATGGTTGTTTTGCATACTCGATCGAGTTGCGGATATGCTGCTCACGATCGTCGATCTTCAATAACAGAAAGTTCGCAGCTGTCATCGAACAAGTACCAGTTGGAAACTTTGAGAGTCTGAGGAGCATAATCGTGACGTTTGACTCACTATGACCCATGGATTATTCTTACGACTTGAGGAAAAATGGAAAAGACTAATAGATTCTGCATTCTGAATGCGCCATCAATGCCCGTGAGAGTCTCTGCGATAATTGTGCTAGGCTTCAGCCGTACACAAGCATTCTCTTCCATATTCATATATTATTTGTATAAAGTTAGAATAATGCTTTTTGTGAGATGGGAAAGGGAGGGCTCTTTTCTTACTCTTGGATAATGTTATTGCAATGAACATGAGCCCTCCAGTAATTGAACGCTAACAGAGAAAACAGAAGCATAACCTTTCCGTCAGGACGAAGAGGTCGGAATTCGTCAAATAAGTTGGTGAAACAATTACGAGAACTTTCTTTCTTTTCGCCCTTTCCTAAACCACTCAAACATTCTTTATGTGCTACGGCTGGACGCCATTGCGGACTTGTGCAAGTCTTTGCAGAGTGTGACTACTGAAAGAGACGCAGACGACGAGAGTGACGAGAGGCGCTTTCAATTTCTGAGACGGAGGAGTAATGTGCTTTAATGTGCCGGTCTCCCATGTACAACTATATAAAAATTAGCTACAAGGTGTTTTAGATTTGATTTCCGATCAACGGGGAGAAGAACATTAGCAGTCCCACGACCACAAGTTTGTTTCCCATCGCTAATGAGCAATGTGAGAAAGTGCACGAGCACTGTAGGGGATGTGGGATGATCAGGAATATTTTTAAAGATGCATCAAACATTAATTGAGTTTTGATGTTGTCAAAGGTCTAGAAGAACCTGTCAACGCACGTGACATACATCATCATGCAAGAAATCTTACATGCATTCTAAATTAGTTCCCGAAACAAATGAGAGTGTTAGAAGTTCACGGCATATTGCCAAGAAAAAAAACGTTCACACCAAGACCATAAATTCAGTGACAATTCAATCAGAAAGAATGTCATTTCCCTTGTAACATTTTCTCTCTGTGCAATAAAATAAGTTACTTGAAACACAAGTCTTTTAAAATTTTCCAGTTTATATTAGAAAAACGGTGATAAGAATATGAAATCAAAAAAAATTAGCGAAATGGGTAAAAACTATTTTATTGTTTCTTGAGTGAATATGATAGCGCTTAGTTCTGATTTTATATCATAGCAGTATCTAGTGAAATATAATTGTAAGGGACATTATGCTCAAATTTGAACGGCATTATGACTAATCCAATAATTGAATTCTTCTACAGAAGTATGCTAACCATTTCAGCAATTCCTTTGTCAACAATTCCTTTGCTAATTCTAATTAGAAATGACAGAACAAATAATCTAAGCGATGTCAAGACAGCTGTTTTTAGCTAGTTAATCGCATTTGTCTAATTTGTACGTTCTAAATGTGGCAACTACATTCCTCCCCGACCACTGAACTTTTAATGGTGATTGAAATCTTGAGCTTTGTTAGCACTGTATAAAAGCAGTCAAATCTAGATATTCAAAAATAATCTCAGACACTGAACGTAGCACAATTCTTTTCAAAAAAAAAAATAACATTTCAATGCTTTTGATCAACAATATCTGTCACTACAAGGGATTGATCTCGGAAAGCTCGGACATGGAACATTTATCACTTTTGAGAAGCAGTAAACCTGATTAGTATAGACCACGTAACTCTGATATCTTGCCTGCTATGACATTGACCATTCCCATATTTGGTTCAAGAAAAACTGGGATAGATTGCTTGGCTGAAAGCACCAGACTGACTAGCTCTAATAGATATTTCATGAGGGAGGGAGTTAATATGGCATAAGCCAAGTCAGGCTAGGATACTAGTGGCCGTTGCAGATTTCTATTGGGAAATCTTTTCATTTGAGCAGCTCTGAGGGTTCTCATTAGGGACTTTCGGATTATATCACTTAGCAAACTGACAAATGCAACCTGAATGATACCAATCGAAGACGTTACATAAACAACTTTAACGAGATGTAATTGCACACAAATAAATGAAATAAACGTCCATACCGAGATGTCGACTGAGGTTATATCACTACTCAATTGCATCATGGTGATGCACTGAAAGCCGTTTTTATCCATTCTCCTGTCACGCGGGACCTGCCGCTCTCGTTACTCTTATTCTTCTCTGTCCAAGGCCTGCTCTTTTTTATACCAAGCTCTTTCATCTCTGCTTTTACCTTATCCAGCCATCTCATTAGGCCTTCCTCTAGCTCTCTTTCCTGGCACTTCCACTGATATGGCCAATCTCGTGATATGGTTTTCTTCTCTTCGCCTCACGTGTCCATACCACCGTAGACGTCTTTTCTGTATCTTCTTCACAATTGGTATCACTTTCATTAAGCTTCGTATAGTGTCATTCGAGATACGGTCTAGCATCGTCACTTCCTGTGGTTCATCTCAGCATCCGTCTTTCCATCGAAACATCATTTCGTTGAAAGCCCTTTATTCTCATCAAAAGCGAAGAAGCACCGGCCAGAATCACTGCGTCAACGTCTAGTTATGTGAAGAACCTGAAGCAAAAAATGAAGCCATAGACACACCGTAGACATCAAACAACTCGAAAAATCGTAACCGCTAGTAAAGATTGCCTTTGTAGCATGACCGAACAAATATTTACCTTACCATTCCCTTCGTTGTACTTAACGATTCCCTTTTTTTAGAAGTCACCAAGCGATATGACTTTATAGCTATGCGGTTTATGTAGTCCCACGTCAGGCCAAGGCAAGCCCTTAGAAGAGGCAACAGGACTATTCCCAGCATTTTTTCAGCTAAGCGGCCATACCGTGCACGCATACAGTCGGTGTCAACGATATGCTCCTTTTCTATCTGTCCAAGCGCAACGCTATAGCCGCTTGCGGCATTCGCAGGCGTACTGCTCGAGCGTTCAGATTTGCGCATCGATCGGAGATCGCTCATGCGCTGCGGAAGCGTAGTTACTACGGAAAAGGGAGCATGTGTTTGACACATATTGTATGTTGTTGGAAGTTATCAATATCGCGTGAAAATTGAAAGAGGAAATCCAAGGCTGAATATTAAGAGCAAAAATTTGCTCAAGACATTACCCTGGCATCGCAGGATACTGTGATCACCAGGAGACAACGGTAGAGGGCGTTGCCACTCCGCATTCATTCGAATGCATATAGCCAAAACGTTGCTCAGTTAACTTGAAAACTGCCTCAGGAGCCCCTGGCTATTATGGGATCTCATGAAGAACGTGCGGTTACGCACATGCAGGTCAGACTAATCGACTTCTTGCTCCAGCAGGACGCTGCGCAACTAGTATGCTAATATCATTTGGCATCATGTTGGGAAGTAATCGAAATGTCGTCTGCGATGTTCGCAACAACAGTAGTTTTGAAGAGATGATTAAAAAAAGCCTCGCAGAATGAGAGAATAATATAATAAAAAGGCCTTACCAGTGAAGAATCTTCGTTGTAGCGAAATCGACCGACTTGATTTCCCTACAGCGTGATAACATATGAACAATAACTGCGCCGCATCCTGATGAAGCAGGCCTACCACAGCAACCAATGTTAGGGCGCCTGACGCGCATGGTGCCCATTATCCATGGATTGTCGTAAGCGTAAAGCTTGCAGCGGTAGGTGAGTCGCTTGAGTAATTTTTCGACTCGGGACTATTACTGTGGACTTGCTTTTAGTCACTAGATTCAGAGCCTCCTATAGATGTCCGGACATTGTCTTCAAAATGGTTCCGAAGGAGCTAGTTTTGCGCGCAAAGTCCATTTTCTTGTCTAATCTGCCCCTCACTTTCTCTTGATTTCCACTTGTCGTTCCGGAGATCGGCAGCTCTTGATGCAATAATATGTTCAATGCCACCATCCGAGGCTTTCCAGTATGCGCACAGCTTCTTCTGCGAATATGGGCACCGCTTCATTATGTTCTTCAAGGCTTTGACATGGCGCAAGTATCGTAGATATGACAGTTTACCATTCAATTGCTCAAGTGTAATGTGGCAATACGTTCCTTACGTCATGAGAAATTTTAGAAGTTGTACTTAGTCCTCTCTCAACGAGTTGAAAACACTTTGCACGTTGAACTACGGCCGTTCCACAGTAGTCGACCAACTCAAAGTCATGCATTTCTGAATTCCAAGCTACTCAGTGTGCTGATCACCATGAAACATTGATTTCGTAATTAGAATTTGAAATAGGACCACAATTCTAAGTTGGCTCCGATTGATCGGGCAACTGGTACGAATCTTGAAGGAAGTGTCTCAGCAAAATTTCCGGAGCCCTCCATGCTGAACCCATATCTGGGCTCGGCAGTGCATAAAAACGGCGAAAATCAGCTTTTTCGAGGTTCACCATGTCCACAACCAGGGAAATAGGAGTAATTACGGCGCGAACCAGGGATGGAGTTTGGTTCTGCTGGAAGGCTTCTGGAGTGATAGAGTTTCACGTTGCGCTTTTCGCTTTACACTTCAATGGTAGATTAGTTGGGGAGTCTGCCATCGCAACGCTGTAGAATCCCAGTACCATTTGCTGGAATGCCTTAATGCGTGCAGGATTGATGCATGATTTGTAGCAGACGCTCGCTTGCGTTGCCTACCAAGACAGAACGTCCTTCACTCCGCGTAAGTTTTGGGGTAGAGGAACTCAGGGTCAGAATCCCCTTAACGAGAAGTGTGCGCGTTTACAGGATGTTAACCTACAATCAATGTCAATTGCGTACTCCCTTTCGCATAGAAACCAGGCATGCGCAACACAAGGGCCTACGTGCGGACCTCCCCATGAAACCTACAAATGCCCAAGTCATACGCGCGCGAACGTGGCCGAAGCTGATTGCGTTTACGGAATAGGGAGCGCGCGTTTGACACGGACTGTACTCACCTACCATAGACACAAAAAATGTCGCAACTAAAGTTAACACGTTCTTCGTGATCAGTATCAAATGACCCCTCCCCTCCCAAGGAAATGTTTTTATTGAAAATACGATATAGAAGTATTGAATAGACTGAAGTGGAATGGCGCTGAAAATGCACTTTACATTTCAAATCTATCCATTTCTGGGAGCCTTCAATTGCCATCTCCTTAGAATGCTCATCTATGGTGCTATTTACTCAAGGCTGCGAAGAAAAGTCCGTAAACATCTTTGAGTTTGCTAGAAGTATTAACGGCGACGCATTTTCACCTCCACATACAAATATTGTGCTCATTTGAGCTAAAAAGCTGTTGCGATATTCCGTCTACTGTAAGCACATGACTGAAGAAAAAAGGTAAAGGAGCATGAGTTGTCCGTTAATGGATGACAATAAAACAAACCAAGGTCAAGAAGTGTAGTCGACTAGCTTTGAGATGAAACCATTTGTATCATACGTGCTTTAGAATCGTTGTCTTTGAGATAGCAACAGTTCACGGACTTCTAACAACTCTAGCACTAAACATCTTGACCGCCTTCGGATGTTTTCTTGGAGGCATATTATGACTGCATAGACTACAACAAGTCGAGGTTACAATATGGTTACCACAGATCTCTTCGTTTCTCTTCTTCAAAGGCTTTTAAGAAAGCATTGTGCGTTCAACTGTTCATTTGACAGCAGTTGTGACAGGATTTATTTGTCACTAAATATTCACGGAACGTGGTTCACTTCCAACAAAAATAAAACCCATGTAATGATCAAGCCCTGTAAGTGACTAGTTATGAACAGATGGCAAGTCGGCAGTACAATGATTATTAAGTCGCACAACAAAACGGTCAAAGACATGGATGATCTGCGCATCATCAAAATGCACCGAAATGCTGGTACAGGAATATGCATCAGATACTATAAATGCGTATAATTACCACCAGGTTGGAGAGATCTAAATTGAAATGCTAACGACATCATCTAGAACTAGATCAATTTGGCGCGCTAATAATTATGCAACAAACTAAGTCGTATCAGAACGGGATAGTCGTGGCCTAGAAATGGCAAGTGAACAAAAAGGCTCACACGATACCCAGTTCAACAGTATTTGGTCTAAAAACAAAGTCGAAGGATGCACACGATGGCAAACGGCAAAGCAAAAGCTCGCAAACAAGAGGAAAACAGAGATGAATATCAGCAGACGAATTATGAAACAATCACCGAATCTAATTGAGATCTTTACTCCCTCAGAACCATCTCAATTTTTTCCTTCCACGTTTCAGCTACAAGCCGGCTTTCAGCCAGAAGAGAGTAAGCACGTTTTTTCGTGCGCAGCTAAATATCAGATTGTTCAGACAAAAATAAAAAAGTGATTAATGAAACCAAGCACCTCAAGAATTGCTTTGTTGCCGTTGTTTTCTACTTCTACGCTACCGACATCGCAAAGATCAATGTATCCGCGACATTCCATGTCATGCTCTGACTCGTAGTAGTACATCTGACATAAAATAATAACATAGTATGATTCGAGGTAAAGTATCACACCTACCTTATGACTATTCGCCTCAAGTTCAAACCATCTCGGTGCCCAAAGCTTGAACTTGGCACCTTTCTTACTCAAATATCCTTGATGAAGAGGCGCTGCACGAGATGACGACACTGCTCCATGGCCCATCGTCAACGTTCGACCGTTGTTAGCTGAAGCCAAAGTGTAAGATATGAACTTCCAACATCATATCTTCGAACGCTTGGAGGGAAGAAACTACTTCAGAGCTTAATAGCTGCTTTAGGAACGAAAATAGTGGTTTATACATGCAACTGATGAGATGTCATCTAACACAGCAGGTACTCTTCGATAGTCAACTAAACCTACGAGAAACTTTGTCATACATATCGTAGTGGGTAGTAGTGGAGTTGAAAAAAATTACTACAGGTTAAGTTGGCGAAAATGATATGTTACCCACCTTCTCCTATGTCACTGAGCATTGTTTCACTTCTTACTACCGTACTTTGCGGTGGCTCTACGGATTTAGAAGGCGTCGGTGGAAGCGACTGCTCCGGTATCGTACGCGGTAGAACTGCTGCTACACGGGAATCGCACGGCCAAGTAATGTTGACAATGCATTTATCGTGCGCTATCACTCCACACTGACGACATCTCTGGCCTAATAATTAGTTGTGTTGAATCAGTTATTTGAACAATGGACGAAGAAAATAATAAACACTGGTGTTGAGATTCATGTTCTGAAGGTTTGGAACTTAGTCACTACTCACAAGGACATGACGACTTGAATAGATTTGTCATAAGGAGTAGATTACATCACATTTGTGAACTCACCTGTACGAACAACAGTTCCGTAAAGTGGAAAACGACACAGAGCACATTCTGATGGTTGAGCTCCACTTGCGCCGTAATGCTCGAAGACATGGTTCCGACTGACACTGCAAAAAAAATATCACCGTAGGTGACAGATAAGTAAAGAAGGCTGGAACGAAAAATTGCGATATCGACAAAGCAACCAACTTCTTCTGATTTGCAGCAGATCTGCTTGTCACTCCCCTCAGCAACAAACGTACAGCTGCCCTTTTCATCAACAATCGTCTTACTTGCCAATCCCAGTCATGTTTCTCTTCTTTTTCCTCCTGCTGAAATGCTGATCTCATAGCACAGTTATAACACTTTCGTTAAGCTCAAGGCACAGCTCACGTCTTCATCCTCTTTAAGTGTCATTTTCTCTTCTACAGCCTGCCAAGTAGCTAACCAACCACCTGCACTTGGTTTATCGAGAGGGTTGAGGCGATCATTGGTCTATAATGACAGTTGGACAATGGTAACGTTAGAAAAAAAAAAGCACACCTGTAAAAGAAAAGTTATTCCGTCTTCTCGTTTGAGATCCTGACTGGTGATAGTGGAATCTATTATCCTAGCAGCTGTGCTTCCCGTGGTTACTCCTTCACCGGAATGTGCAAAACGTTCCTCTTCCCTTTCCGCTAGCTCGGCTTCCGCAAGGTCTAAACGTATCAGCACGATATTGTTACTTTAACAAAAAGAAAAGAAAAAAGGCACCAATGTCGTAAGGTGAACCATGGCTAAGAGTCTCTTCTGAATAAAAAGCCCAAATTCCGAGAGCAGCAACTGAGCTAGCTGGAAGCAGCACACTCTGGCCATCACGAGAATACAAGAGGTTGTGAAATATAGTGTTACGACGCGTCTTCTCCTATAACTTTCTTAAGATTGGTCTGCAAAGTTCTAATCGCTATACGTTATCATCATTCTCACTTTTATGTAAAGCCATATACAGCCACGATGACCTTCAGCCGTTTCTGGGACCAGCTGTTCAAGATGAACTCGTTCAGATTCGCAATCCAAAAGAAAAGTGCGGAAGAAAGCTGATTGGCTATGGTAAGCCAAGAATCGGAGGAAAAAGTCGTTAAATTCAAAAGCACCAGGAAACTGCTCCAATAACTGGAAAATGACCATACATATGATTTACAAACAGAAAGGTACAGAACTTGCCTGATGAACAGCATCCAGAAAGATAAGAAAGACTGGAGTTATGCCGCTGTTCTGAGAAGAGATAGTGTGATTAGCCCGGTGCGAAAACCGATGTCCAAACGCTAACCATTCTTTTTCGATAAGTATCTATAACATACAAAATTTGGGGCAGGAAATAAACCAGAAAAGTCAGCAATGTCCATGCAAAATACTCACTTGAAAACCGTTGATGGTTCGGTAAAAAGGATCCAGCATAAGTTCAGCAAGCGAAACTAACTGACAGGTAGTGTCCCAACCTTCTTCAATACACAATGCTACCTAAAGTGGTCGCATATAGAACAGATAAAGTCAGAACAAAAAACCAACCGATGAGTTCTGCATATTCACAATACTAGCGATAGAAGTGGAAAGTGATAAAAGACTTGATATCTAAAAACCTTTCATCATTTCTAGAAGACTTCCGTACCGTCGATTATGTATATAAACCAGTCACCAGCTGCAACCATTCCGACTCCTCTAAAGATCGGTAGAATGTGGATGACGACGAGTCCATGAATGGAACGCTAGGTCGCATAACTCTGAGGAGCTTTTTGAAGGATACCTTCATTTGATGCGTAGTAGGAAAGCTGATGGGAATGAACTCGACATTTTTGTCGCCGCGGAAAATCTAGAACCAATTTTATTGTCGTTGTTCTTTCTCACGCGTCCATCAATGACGCACCTTTGAGTGTCCCTTCTCCACTAAGATGTACAGATTTTTCCGCGTCAAGCTTCCTATCGCATACTGTAGCGTCTTCTGTGACTGGCGCTCACTGTACGATGACGCAATCGTCCAAGGAACATTCGAATTGATCATGGAAGCTGAAAACATTTAGCTAGAAAGAAGTTAGCTGTAGTGTCACCTACCTCTAGATCCTGGTTTACCACCACTGCTGCGGATGGAAGTCGCATAGTGCTTCGCCAGATCCGATCCTTGGTTACGCCGACGAGCATCAGGAGTTCCAGTGGCTACTGATGACATACCTATGAACAAGAAGTGACTAGAATCAGCCTACAAAATTGAGAAAACTGACCATCAGCCGTAAGAAGACTATCAAGAGAGATCAAGCTAGCCAAACTTCCAGTTGTACCACCTAAATCTCCGTTGCCAGAAGGCGATACGTGCGCCAGTCGAGCCAAGTAGTGTTCCTAGGTTATGGAAGTTCAAAAATTGAAGCATTTCGCGTAAGCTCTCGATGTACAGCGACAAATGAGTTTCATGTAGTACCTGGTACTCCACACTGTGTAGCGGACCAGCTTCTCCACTGTCTTTTGAAACCAGAGTCATTCGACTACCGCCAAGAGTTGATACTGATTCGCTTCCATGGAGAATGTTAGCCTATACGAATCAGCTTCAATAGTTATCACATGCATATGCAACAATGATACCTTTTTGAACTTTTGTACAACATTACTTTGTGTCAGACCACTTCCACGAATTAATAGTGCACCATTTTCATTTGTCCACGTAATAACGGGAAAACGACCGTGCTTGAATCCCTTAGCAATTTTCAGGAAAGCGTCATCGCCAACGGACGATGGCACAACAAATGCGTATGGATACCTGTAGAGGATGTCTCAGTGATCACGGATAGACGGAAAAACAAGTGACCCACGTTTTCACTATATCATAATGAGCATTGGCGTATGATATCCTGAAAATTGAGTCTATGCCGCGGAGTCGTAGCCGTTCGTAGTCACAAAGGTGGTGTCGATGCATATCAGGAGCACTTAGCGGGTTTATGATCTCAGGTATATCTGCAAAGTCACACAAGCAGTCTAAGTAACCGATTCAGATGTACACTACACGTACCGGAAAGGTCGAGATAATCGCTATTATTTGCAAGGGTATCGTTCTTGCTAGACTGCGAAGAAGATCTGAGAGCAGGGGTGGCAAGAGGTGATGGCGGCCACTTGTTGACAGAATCCACGCGGCGACGTGTCATAGTATCTAAACCGATTACAAGGTAGGAGCAGCTCATCAAAAGAAGAATGGCACGTAATCTTAATACTGATAGGGCGATTACAAGGAATAAGCAGTTACCTGAACAATCACTCAAACTACATTACCAATCCGTCAAAATCTGTTATGTCCTATGTACGACCCCACGTAAACTCACTTTTCGGAAATCGTGCAATCGTTTTCTTCAGTTCTCTAATGGTACTGTATTTGCTTTTTGGACCACTCGGTAACGTGGAAGTGAGGAGATGACTGACAGTGTTATATGCAAAAAGAGTATGAGGTAGGACGCTTGGCCACCTCTGGCTTGACAGTGACTTTGTGAATGCTTCCACTTCATCGCCAGTAACCTAAGGCATGTACAGAAAATTTGAGTGATATCGCATTTTATAGAACAGTATGGCCTCCATCCTTACCTCCTCATCAAAGGCGACCTTGAGCAGTTGGAAGCATGCAGTTCGCATTTGAAGTCCATCATGCAGACCGCTGGCAATCTACAAAACAGTTCATGAAATAAACTTAGCAAAGTTCCAGCGTTTACAGAAGCTACTAGCGAAAATGCTTAAAAAAACAGATGCAAAAACACTACCTTTGACGAAATTCCATGCAATTGCCCAGCAGCCTGAAGGCTTTGATCACCGATAGACTTCTCCTTGGTTAAAGTCATCACAGGAACTGATCGAACTACCACCATATCGGTGACTAGAAACAATTCTCTTGTAGAAACTCAAAAATAAGTAGAAGTAAATTACTTACGGAAAGGATTTGTTGGCCGTCCTTTGAAAATGATACGGTAGTTCGTAAGGAACAATGCTCCCTCAGCAGGAAGGAGATTCACATTGTTATCGGGATTTTCTGTATTAGCAGGGCGTCCTTCTGGAAGAAGTACGCACCGCAAACCTCCAACAATGATGCGCTCACATGGTGTAAGTAGTACAGGTGTAAGTAATTTAGACTGCAAACATGCACACTGATAACCGGTAGATCAAAAGTACAATTCAAGAAGAGAACCTTAGGTGGAGGAGCAAGTTTTCTACTTTCAGCATGAACTTGTTCCAGATTATCTATGTGCACAGCAACGAATCCCGGGATAACCTGAGTGAGCTGCTCTGTTAGACGAGGATCCAATCCGGCAGCTGAGCAGATGCGATCTATCACGCGGGAGATCCATGTGACTACCTGAAGGTTGACTGAAACTCCGTAAAGCAGCGGGAGTGGAAATGACCATACGAGATACCTATTCCGTGGATGGGATAATGAATAGACAAAAGTCAGAAAGTTCATCATGTGTCACGATCTTCGACTCACCACGTTGCCTAGATCCCCATCGTTGACATTTTCGATGAAACCAGATTCTCCGTCGGAGCAAGAGTATGAGTCGGTCTAAATTTACAATAACTTCTAGCAAACTGCACCAAAAAAGTAAGAGTGTACGCACGTCAGTCAATTGGTGCATTACTTACGTCTCGTAGGGCTCGGGAAGTACCGCGTAGTTCGAGATCGTTTTTATCAATTCTCCGAAGACGTGAAGCGTCAAGCGGGACTCGTAAGTAGATCATGAGATTTACGTAATGTTTTGCTTGTCCATACACAATGGATTCCTCCTCAAATATAGGACTGCAGATAATAACGAACAGAACGACTCGCTATGAATGATACCTCTTCACTACACTTCTTTAACTCTTCTTCGCTGTATTCAGAAAGATTGCTGAGGCGAGCAGCTGATACAGCCATAGCCGTTGGTTCTTCCAGCAAATTCCACATGTCGTATGGACTCTTTCCAGACAATGGCATGCCACTATCGTGTATTTTCCCATAGTGCCTACGCATCAACTCATGAACGTCGTGGAAGAACGCAGTCTCCCAAAAGCGTTGATTGCTCCATACAGAATGGTCTTGTATACAGGTGTAAGCATATTGTTGCACACCTTGCGAGAGCCTCTGCATTCACGTATGAGAAATGGGGCTTCAAACAGATAGGTACCAACAAAACCCACCCTACAATACATATTTCCTAAGTGCAAGCAAGCGTAGGCGATTCCATGCTCGTCATCATCAGACTCGTGCTGAAATCGTTTTCGGCAGTTTCAGACAACCATTCCTGCCTACTGACCCATCAATTTACGCTATACAAACGAACGATGCTTATCGGCCTTTTTAGTCGCGTCCTGCACTTCCATTACACAAGGGCTGGGATCAAAACTCGCTATCAAACGCGGACAAAATGCTACTCAAGAATGGAAAAGACTCGGTCTTACCTCCAACGCGCAGTTCAGAAGCCGAACAACCAGTTCGAATTGTGCAGGCTGCAACATTGCTCTTGTCACCGGTACGGCAGCACTGGCCAAGTGACGGCAGAGAGCGACGCGAGCAGCAACGACCCTCAGAGAGAGTTCCACAGCGCACATCATCTAGAGTTGCTATAATACACTTAACCGCTCAAACTTATTTCTAGCAGAAGATAGTCATTCCAGCCCACCAAAGCTATGAGCTAGAAGCAGCAAAGACAACATTAACCTATACATATCTACGAATGTGAACAAAGATCAGTGAAACCAACCAGATATGATATATGTGGCTCAAAAAACCTATAGAATGACTGCATAAAACATGGAACACAGCAGTTACAATAAAAGTTGCACTGAGACATGAAGTGTGATGATAACTATTACCTTTCTCGCTTCCGACATTCGATTATCGAATATAGCATCGATGCATGCACTGAGCACCTGAAAAACCATGAAGTTATCCATACGTAACAATGAAACATCTTTCAGTACCAAAAGACGACGACTGTTTGCTCCAATGTGTTCCTCGTACAAATTTAGCTTCTCGGGGACCGGCACTTCCTAACAAAGCTTTTGATCACCATAAGTCTTACAGACATCATGTGGATACCTACTTTCGGTTGTAGCCGACCAGGATCATCTAGACTCCAAAGCAAGCGGTTCTTCTCGATGAGAGCATTCACCTGATCAAGTGGATACCGATCCATGTCACAAATGTACCAATTAAGCGTACTTTGTCATTACTCAGTGGTCGAAGAGTGGCTTCATCATGACTGAAGTGAACTCCATTGGACAGAGCTAGAGAGGCTCTTTTCGCGAGTGTAGGAGTTGTGGTCATGATACTCTCCTGCTTCTCCTTGATACTGATTCGTGACACAAAAAGGTTGAAGCTTGTTTTGTGGAACCTACATTCACAAACAATGACGAGCTAATTTTTGACAACCGCTGTTTTTCGTCAGAATTATCGAGGTCGTCTCCTTCAATAGTTGCAGTGCATACTATCTGAAGAATAGAAAAATACCAAAAAAATGGAAACAGTGGAGAAGCAAAAGGAAGAACACAAACGAAAGCAAAGCCTAACGTCATCAAAAATGTCGCATTCTCTAAATGGTAAGCCTCGAGTAGCAACAAAAAGCTGGAACATCTGTCCTTCGATGAGATCGTGAAGAAGGGGAGACGTAAGGTGTCTACAAAATTGCTCTCCGGTAAACAAAAATCATTATGCAAATAGAATCTCACCTCATACCCATAAATGCAGCTTTATGAAAGACAATGAGCGGATGACGGTGAAGACGAACCAGTTCCAGACAGGCGCGATAGCCATACAAAAGTTCGGAAAAGAACAATACAAAACAGGCTCGTATTTCTTTATCCTAGAATCATACTAACATCATGAACTGCATTTCAGTATGGACAATAAACTCCTACCAACAAATGCGGTTCTAGCGGCGGCGGCAGCGCAGCGGGTATGGCGAAGTCAGCAGTCGATAGCTCTGGACTAAGAACCTATAAGTCAAGAAATAACAACAAGTATTGGATAGGTTACCCCATAACTCTAAACAAAAGAGTCGGATTACTAATTGTACTATGCCTGGTCACAGACGCATGCCCAAGAAAAAAAGACATAGAAAAAAAGAAGACGAAAACAAAACATTATGTAACTAAACTTACCCTCTGGAGCCTAGTGATCAAACGTTCACGGAACGGAGAAGGAAGTTCAGCTAACTGGTTATTGACGGGAAGGCGTACTTCACCAGTATCGAGATCCACCACAACTGCATCAACATTTGGCAGCTAGAAAATACTTGTTATGACTGAGCAAATCTTGTGGAGATGTCTTCTCACTTTTTCCCGGACTTGAGATAATACACCCATGAGATAAGGCGTAGGGCTCTCAAGGTACTCCAGTAACAATTCTGGCAGTGCTGTCACAAAGGTATACCTAAACCACCATAAGAAGCAAAAAATCGTCATGTAAAAGAATCAATGATTAGTTGCAAAACTTACGTGTATTCGAAAGGGAAAATTATAGATTTGATAGCATAGGCGGAGTCCGAAAGACGTTGTTGTGATGAACTATGCAGGATAATTTTCGCATCACACAACACGGCTCGAACTACCGTCAATAAGTTATGAATTGAACCTAAAATATGCTCACGATCAACGCAGCAGACTGATGAATTGGAACAGCTACTATGTACTATGTATATCAGATCCAGATGCCACCGAATAGCCGACATGCTACGGCATATGAACTCGAATATCTATGAACACTAGCAATAACTAATTTACGTGAATTGAATGCGAAAGGTGAGCATTATGAGTTACAGAGTCGCATTTTCAGGAGAGTGTGCTATGTGTAAGCCTATCAAAACTGGAAAAATAACCTACCACTAAATAACTCGTGACGTTAAAAATGCCCTAGACTTCGTCGTTTGGGTGATAAAGAACGTAAACGTACTACAGACGGGTGGAACATGCGAAAACAAAGTATTTCCAAAACAAGAATGTCAACAAACCTAAACATCTAGCAAAACGTGCCACTCGATCGCCCGTCAACGGTACCCGCCGTTGGAGAATGGGCTGAACCGAAACCCGCTCTCCACCCATTGAGAAGCTGATTGGCGTTCTTAAATCGATGGAATTTTGCAATAAGAACAAACGGTTTTACTCCATCACTAACCTTCCTATTAACAGAATTTTGCTAACGATTGTTGCGATCATCACCTCCGCCATCGATACATCATTTTGAATGGCCAGATAGATACGATGAAGGCAAGCCTTGAACTCAAGATTATTTTGTGATGAAATTATTACGATAATAGCAGAAACTAACTCGAAACAGATCGAAATAAGGATAGCGAGAGAGAATAACGTAAACTCGCGGCCTAAACGTAGCACTTGAGGGATGATAGATGTCCTCGCAGTCCTCATCTGGGCTGCCCACGCAAGGTTCATAAACCTAAATAAAACGTATGCAGTCATACAATACAGGATTGGAGCATTACAGGACATACAGGACATACACGCTGTACTTGTAAAAGTCCTTAAACAATTTTCAAATTACCTGCAAGCAACAAGCATACTGATGTGCGCCCATAAGATCGGTCAACGTACACACAAAAAACGTTGGATCGAGTTGCTTGTGAGCCAAGCTCCAGCCATGAGGGACGCAGAACTAAAAATAAACCAGCAATTCGGTTTGCATATGGAAAGAATGCTGAATTAGATGGTACTACGATACTGCATGATTCTCAAGATGTGATCATGTCTATTCATAGCAAAGTGTAAAGCCACCTCTACGTGATAAAATGAGGTACGTGAGTTTGGTAAAAGCGCATGTACAACATAATACTTTTGATTTACTTGCATTACGCACCGCAACATCCCAAATTGCATGTGCAAAAGTGCAGAGTGATTAAGCTAATGCAAAATCCTGCACTAGTAGGGACAGTTTGAACATGGTTAACTTAGTATTTTGCACCAATAATCTTGCCTAAATCAAATACATTTGTTAGAACGATGTACTGTTCATTCACTGCAGCACCATGCAATGCCAACTGTGGCTTTGTTTCCAGTCTAAATCGACGGCTTCTCCCTTCTCGGAACTTGCCCACCAGAATCTGCTTATAATACGAAATACATTTTGCTTTCTTTTCACAATGAACTAGACGCTCACAAAGAGCATTTGTGATGCACAAACAGCAAATTTCTTCATTTTCAAAAAAAAAACAGGAGTGAAATGTGATTTGACCGTCACGCTGCCAAAGTTCTATATGTGGAATGACCACGAACTTAGAAAATTAAAACATGGCAATCGGCTTTTGAACTGCAGCTGGGGATTTTAAAAGTGCATCGTTTGAACATGGAAAAGTTCATAATGGTCTATTAGAAGCAGCAGCACAAAAACGCCGTATAATCTATTTGAGCACTAATTACGTCTATGAGAACGCTATAATCTGCAAAAAAAGGAGAATGGAACGCTTGATAAAAGTTACTACAAACTCACCATTGAGATACTATTTGGAAAAGGGACATCTGGCCATTCATTTGATGGTAGACGTCGTGTAACCATACCTACGCTGCTTCCATGCCCTTAAAATTTATAGTAAGACGTTTAGTATTTGTAGTATGGTTGCTTACTAATTTGCGTTTCATCAAGCTGCAGTTCGACAAAATAATCGGCGAGACGTGGCGTGCACTGCCTCTCCACCTCGCTCACGCTCATCCTATCTTCATGAAGGCACCTGAAAAACGAACGGTATATCACCATCCTTAGCTGGAACGCTATATTCAATTAGAGGTGTGCAGCAGCGATATACAAAACAGAGAGTAAAGTCGCTCGTTTTCGCGGTCAGCGAGATGAATGGAAAGAGAAAAAACGCGACGTGAGTCGAGAAAACACAATGAACGATCAATACGAGCAGCAGCTACTGAAAACACATTCGGATATGAGTAACACTTGCTGTAAAATCGCTAACAGATCACATTTTATTGTCGTGTTTCCACGGTCACTATGCAATTATCGACACGCTGACAGTGATGTTTGCAGTGTGATACAAGTGAAAAAGTTATGCGGGAGGTCAGTTAACTCTACCATCAGCAGTAATCTGCATCATTCGAAACGTTATTCTGATATATTCTGACAAGTCACGATCCAGTAACCGTGCATCGCAACATAACGGCCTCTGACATTAAATGAGCTCTAGGAAACCGTGGACAAGCACGCTTAACAAATGCGAAGCGTGCTTCAATGCAATTTGTTCTACTACTCAAATAAAATAAGAAAGATTAAAGTCAAGCTTGTCAGGCATGCAGACGCGTAGCTTTTTCACGTATCATAAAGTAAATGTTCGATGATTCAGCCAACGACCGCCACGCCGGAGATATCATGAGAAAGTCCATTGAACGAAGCTTCTTTCCGTATATATGATTAAAAATTATTTTGAATGAAGACGGAAAAACTGACTTCAGATAAAGATTGAAAGAAGTGACTAGACACACTGCAAACTTCAAAACAATACGCATCCTCATAAAGTAGCATGATCATATAACATAAAATATCTTACGAAATATAACATAAAAAGGGAATTTCGTGCATGTTTTAATACAAATTTTTAATTCCTAGCAACAGTCCAATGACATAAAAGGATGAATAACAGATTACTCCATACATTTCTGAACAGATCTATATCGTGGCTGAAACGAAGCGGCACGTTGACTAATTGGCGTATTGAGAGCACTCTACAACTTCAAAACTATCTCAAGCGATGTTGTAATAGGTAGAGAATCTTTGTCCGTATGGAAAGACTATCAAGGCCGGTGGACTATGAAGTCGAGTACTAGAAAATGCACTTTCGGTCTGCAGAACCAGTTTACCGCGCCAAGGGAACTTTGACAGGTCAGGAATTCAGAACACGTCCCAATAGATCTTTCCTGTCATAGATTGCTTGAACCTCGTAAGATTGATAGTATCGACTCTCTCAATCTTATCTCAACTCGAATTTCGTCGACTACACGTTAATCGCACGTCTTTATTCCGTTAGATCAAGATCCAGCGATTTGCAAATAAGTCAGGCAAGTAATTTCTTCTAATGTGTATATATTTGTGTCCCGCAATGCTTCCCAAAGTGAACCGCTTAGAGAATTGAAGAGCAAAGATATATTTGAAAGTGGCACGCTGCTCGCGGGAAGGTTAGTTAGAAATTTAAGCTCACGGTGAGCGGAAGAGAAATCGAACGGGCAATTTTCTTCCCACTTACGGTAAGCTTATACTTCTCACCCGCGTGATATGAAAGTGCCATTCAAGACACGCGGTTCCGTTGTACCATCATCGTTATACTTCTTGGAGGTGGCAACAACGACTCCGCCACCGCTGCTGGCACGCGTCATACTTGACTTAACCCGCTTCGTCACTGGTCAATTCAGTGAACTGACCAATAGCGAAGCGGTTGTCTACTTGATCCGCTTGCTCTTCCTCCATTTCACTAATGGTCAATTCAGTGAAATGACCAATGACGAAGCGGATCAAGCTGATCAAGTGGCTTAAAGGCAGTGGATCAGCAGAATGGACCCTTCTCGGATTTTGGTGGATTTAGGTAGTAGACCCTCCTAGTACACTGTAGCCCAAATCCCACTTGCCTGTTCATGCGCTAAGTCTTGAAAAATGCGCTTCAAAACCCCACCAGCCCCGCCCACTCAATGCAAAGAGGCGGGGTTGGTGGAGTTTTGAAGCGCATTTTTCAGGACTAAGCGCATGAATTGGCAGGCGGAGTTTGGGCTACAGTGTACTAGGAGGGTCTACTAGTTAAATCACCAAAATCCGAGAAGGATCCATTCTGTTGATCCACTGCCTTTAAGCGGATCAAATATGGCGCGTGCCTATCTGCACCATCACTCGTGCAGTTTTGGTTCGTTTCCATCTGCACGACGTCGGGACCACATGACCCGTGCTAGAGTCGTCCCGTATGCTCTGCATTGTTTCTATCATTTACTTACTTTCTTTTACTTTTCAAATTACCTTTGCTTTCCTTTTACGTGTATCTGTGGTGAATGTCGTGTGCACAGGTCTGCTGACTGGTAACCACATGCTTTCAGATGAAGAAAATAAGAAAGCGGATGTTTACTTTCTTGCTTTTGCTAAGCACCGAAAGCACAGCACAAACGATGTTCTAATCTCTACACAATACGACATAGCAGTAGAGATAGATACTAAGCATGTCAAAAACGTGTGGTATTTGTTGAGTAAGAAATCGTCCTCCTGGCTTTTCAGGATGAGACATCCGCATACACTCAAACATAATGGCTATCGTATCGAAATATGAAACAAGAAATTGTTGAATGATTGCAATTATCTACCTCTTGCTTAATGAATTAAAGGCGGCCAAGCAAAACAAAACATAGTCGTTTTTCCAAACACAGATCTTGCGTAGGGCTCAAAGTTCAAATACATCGCCATCTTTTAGTTGATGCGATGCTGTACCTTTCATACCTGCAGCACATTAAGCAGTTTCAACGACTTTTATAATTTCGGGTCGCTCAAAACCACGAAAATATGGATGATAAAAACGACCATAAGTTCCTTCCCAAAAGCATCTGCAGTCATAGAAGGCAAATTTGAAATCAGCGCTTCAAGACCTTTGTAACGGTATCTATCCTGTGGTGAACACCCACTGTGACTTCGCGACCCTCCTTTGTTAGTTGCCTACTTGTCAAACACCTTCCTCCTATCAAATGGTACCTGACATTACATGATTTCATTAAAAAAGTGGTGTCGCTGCGTCTTGGTTTCGTATGATATAATCCACGAACCTTACACAAGTGTGAGGTAGAAAGAAGGTTCTTTACCAGAGACAAGATGAAGGCCTGGTACCAAATCTTATTATTGGAGTCAGAACGCAAACAATCTGAGCTTTGCAATCTCAAACGAAAATCGTTGTGACGAAACAAAATCAAATAAAATGCATCATAGCACATCGATACCATAGAAATAACTCAAGATATTAACATGTTGGTACCGGAGAGAAGTTGAGGAGATAAGGCATACGTATCGTCACAAATACAGCGTCAACCAACATTGATGAATACAACACATCCATACGATACGCGCTTCCACCAGAGCTCAAGACGACACTCAAGGAAGGCTATTAACGCGAATGAAGTCGTCTCAAAAGGTTAGCGGAACAAACTAACTACAGTGAGCATGATTCGAATGGAAAATAGTAGAAATGACAAAACAAATAAACAAAACCAGTCGACCAGGAAACTTTTTAGGAATGGGGAAGAGGGCTAGTTATACTTCCGAATACGGAAGTGGATGTGGAGACAGGCGAAGTTCGCGTTGAAAGCACTCGGTGCAGATGAAAGTTGTTTTATAAGCAAATTGGGAGTGATTCATTGATGAGTGGAAGCATTTGCTGTAACAGTACTGGGTTGACACGAGTGCAAGCTTTCGGCGACTGGACAAAATTTCACTGAATCGCGGATTGACTGGCTGGTGAGATTTATAAATCAACAAAAAGAAGATCACAAGTGGTGAGGACGGAGATAAACTAATGTTTTTGCCTCTCAGCGATTCAGTGGATTTACAAACAGTTGCAAAATTTGCAACATACAATCGACTTTGGAATCAATGATAACAAGAGCTGAACACCAGAACTCGCAAATACATGGGAGAACAAGCGGATCGCAGGAGTATAAAGTGCATAGAGAATTTTCGGAACGCGAAAACAAAAACGCTCGATTTCTTGATGCTAGATGATAACACATCTGATATGTCACACAGAATCATAGCACTACTAACCTAAAGAGAACCTGGAACTGTAAAAAATACCTCTAACTGGAGCATATCTCTCAGAAAGCTCAGTTCAACATACTAACATAATCCTAACCTAGCCCTAAAAAAATAAACAAATTCAAAACTACGCTACATTGACAACATCACACAATAGATCTCTGAACGCTACTCAGGGAAGAGGTCGCGAACGCTAGCTGAACGATTCTGGAAATGCTGACAAAACAAAAAAGCGATGAATCGGCTAGATTGTTTTGTCTTTCAGACTTACTTTCGAAAGCGATCTGACCTCGAACTCCGCTGCTGCTACCATCTCCGAATAAATCTACATAACTTCCTGATATAGAAATATTACCTCTCGAAGTGCACATGAATGTGTACGTAACATATCGATAAAAATGCCGATACACAGTGTACTGAAGGCTACAAAAAACAAACAAAATGTGAGCCTCTGATAAACTGTTTGTGTAGAACTAGAGCACTTCTGCAAAATCGTAATACCGCAGCATAGGCTTCAACAAAGATGATAATCTGATGCATATGAGGGAAGCAATAAGGAAAAAATGAACATTTAGGTAGTGTATGAGCACAGCTTACAAAAAGAAAAAAATGACTGTAGGAGAACAGTGCATGGAAAAGAAGAGGAAGAAGTGCAGACTGCACGATAACTTTGACTTAATCTAGTATTTCCTCCTTCAGAGGAGTACAATTCAGTGGTATTCAGTGGTAAGCATCCACTTGCCTATGTCAAGACCAGCTTTGAATCGCAGCTCATTACTGTGAGGTGTTGCTGGGTGAGTTAGTGTCTATCGCCGATGACGAACTGCCATGCTCACTCGATTTACAATCGTCCTGCAATGCGGGAAATGAGTCACTAAGAAAACAACGTTCAATGAATACAGACTGAGTAACAAATCGCATGCAACGATAAGAGCAGCGCTACGCTTTCGAGAACACATAGCAGATCGCACATTTGCTATCAACATTCAAGAGCTATAAGTCTAGGGCTTCCACCTATCACTAACATGATTCCCTATTAGCATAACTAACCTCTGTCGTTGTTCCTCCATAACTGCTATCTTCATCATATTGTGTCGCTCTCGAGTTTAGATTCATTGCAGCAAGTTGATCGTAAAGTGTTGGTGGGGCAGGAGGTGCAGCAGTGTTCGTTGTTCCGCCATTTGGCGCATCTGGATTACGACGCCAATACGTAGATTGGCGTTTTGGGAAGGGCTAAAATCACAACGGATTGGAAAATGAAATTTAGTATAGAAAAAAAGCAAAACACGGTTTGTGAAAATTAACAGCAGAAGAGATACTGAGACCACAGCGACTTACCCTTACATCAACCCTCTTCGAAGCAATGATATGCCTTCCATTATTTTCGTTTAGACATTTGTCAGCGCTCTGCTTATCTTCAAATACGACGAAGCCAAAACCTCGATGATCGCCCAGGATCTCCACCTGAAGATTTTTGTCAACGACAAGGTTCCAAAGCTGCTCCACCAACCTGATCTAATGATCCAAATTTTTCGAAGTAAACGCGGAGAGTATCAACGCGGTGGTAGTCCCAATTGAGCCCTGAGGCATAACAAATAACCAGATGCAGAAAGATTCCAAACCTACAAAAACAAAAATCCATACCTGACAAAAGAAGTTTGCACCCTGGCGCTTGCTCACACGCAAAGAATGGTGGAGGAAACATTGGCGTCATTTGCTCACGAGGAATAGCCCGCTTGGAATCCACCTTGATCAAAAAGAATCATTTCGAGAAGAAATGCAAAAAAAAACTAAAGAGAAGTTATTTAGATCAACTAGTTTCACTACCGTTTTTCCTGCAATGACGTGAGGTCGATCCATCATAGCTGCTTCCAAGCTAGCGATTGTAGCAAACGTAACAAATCCAAATCCACGAGACTGCTTGGTTGTTGGGTCGCGAATGACAATTGCATCTACCACTGGTCCCCACTGCGTAAAATAAACGCGCAACTGGAAATTTTATGGTTATTTGAACACAATGGGTATATTTAAAGAAAACTTCGCAATAATTTTACTCACCGCATCGTCGGTTGTTTCATGACTGAGGCCACCGATGAACATCTTTCGCATTTGCGGTGGTCCTTCGCCGGGACACGCTGAGGAGGCGTGCTGAAATCACAAATCCATAACTGTGATAATTCGAAAAAATTTATTTGAGGAAGCAACTAGTGATTTTGAAGCTCAAGGATGTCAAGTCCAAATGAGCACAGCATCAGAACACATAAAATCTGCCGAAGTGCGCCATGTTACTGCCAATATAAGCGAGAAGCAGAAGAGCTGCCCACTTTTTCAACTGCATCTGGCCGAGAGCGCAAATCAAAAAAGCTTAGAATGCGGGAGCTGCTTAGATTTTGATGAAACTGACTAATTCGCAAGAAATTATTGGACGACTTACAGTGCTCATGAAAAGAATATACGAGGTTTAACCGCATCAAGCGTCTACAGGTGATACAACGCAGGAAGCTAAACGTGTTGTAAACGAATGGAAACGGCGACTGATTGTGAGATGATGAGGAAAAAAACCGCTCAATTCTGCGGCTTGGAATGCGCTATTTAGAGGGTCAAAGCAGACTGTCTATACAATATATACCATATTATGACTTCTGTTTTCGCCAAGACATGCTACAGAAAAAAGCTTGAACAATGTTCTCCAATCTATTCTTGCTAGCATATTTTTTGTATTTGACTATTCAATAATAAGATCTAAGTTCCATATGAGCTCAAGGAAATCCTTAACATACCGATAAACGCAATGAAGTAGTGAACCAAAATCAGCACTCACCCGCGCTGCCATATGCACCATCGGTAGATGAGCAAGAGGCAATGTATATGGTGGCGTCCTACCGTTCGGTCGGCCATTGGGTCCTACCAGTGGCACGAATACACCGGCTTGCACCAGTTCGGCCAGCTCTGAATGATGAACCAGATAGTAAGCAACAATATCTGATTAAGACTCAACTAATTTAATAGGAGATAGAAATTTGATAGAAGAAGAGGAAAACAAATTAAATGACGATAAATTACTGACCTGGAGGAATATAGTGTGCAAACATTTCCCCGCTATACCGATGCACCAAGTACAGAGTAGCGTGGACCCTGCATAATAGATACACACTTTTCGAAGACCTTATCAGTAACGGTAGTGCGGATGCGTGTCTCGGAAACACCATAAATATTGGACGGTAGCCAAACCGATGATCATAATGATCGCAAAATAAACAGACAGCTCTTATTCAACATTCGACTTCATCATACACCAACAATTCAAAAACTGCGACGGACAAAATACTTAACAATTCTAGCATTTAATACACGTGAAAACGAACATTTTCAAATCAAACTGATAAAAGACTTGCAATTATTCGAAATTGTACAAATCATGTATAAACAATAGAAGGGACTCTTAACGGCAACATGTCATAAAAACGACCATACTGTAGTAGGTGAGATAAAACATGGATATAAGATAACGAGCTAGCTGAGGGAACAGTGTACTCGAAGTAATAAAGGGGGTAAGAAAAGACACGCTTGGAATTAGACCGACGAGATAAAATACGGCCCAGACAATTTTCACTTAGGAAATAAAACTCAAGATCAACTCAGCAGAACGCCAAGCTCTTTATACTAAGTGGAAACCATAACGCGACTACGTGATTGCCTCAACTATCGGGACTACATACCTCTGATATCCACTATAAACTACGTAAAACGACGGTGAGATTTCATTCCAGAGTCAAAGACGTCAGCTAGTTATTTGAGCTGACACCATGGATTTGTATATATAAATAGAATGTGATTATACAAGGTAAAAGAACTTGAAAGTGTAGGATAAGAAAGTCATACAAGCGACAATGTGCTTCGAGCGAAGCCTTATTCCAATCACAATCTTTCCATGACGGCTAGTGTTTTTAGAACGAAAGGAGAAGCCAACGTAGATCAAGGCCTAACGTTAAACATGGAAAAAACCTAAAAATTTTGGCGTTTTGTCTCAAATGCAATATGTGAAAACGTCCCAAAACAGACGATCACTTATGCCAGGGTACATGTTACAAGCATACATGAAACAACAAGCAACTCGAAAAGATCAGGACTGAAAACACAAACAATAAGTAAGGATAAACCGTGACATTCGGTTTTTTATAACAAATGTGACAGCGATGATTTACCATAACGTAGATGACACAAGCTCTAGCGTTTTGGCGAATCAAAAGAACGTGGCGTTCCATCACGTTGCCTTTCTGTAAAATATTAGTATACAAGCTCTGCTAATCAAATTTACAGTCTTGAAAAAAATTGCAATAATAAAACATATATCAAGACTATCCATTCAACATCGTCCTCATAACATATTACTGCTGACTATTTGTAAAAAAAAGGGAGCCTAATTATGCATTAGACATCAATTCCCAACCTAGTCGATATTTCTTGAACGACTTTATATCTATTGCCTATCAAGCCTACATTATTTCACGAAATCATATTTGCCCAAACATAAAAAATATCGCAATATGGTTAAGATGAGAATTTTTCAAACCGATTTCGATCCAAATTCCACGATCGTCCCACAGTGCTTGACCGTTATTTATAAAACTTTCAAAAGATACGTGCAGATGCTAAAGTACTGAAATACTAATAACAAGTAAGCAAACAAACCTCCTCGTCTGTGGTCATTTCCTTGTCGTTTTTGGAAACCGGATTTACCCCTGTATTGAAAGCGCCCGCGATTACTTGACCAGTCACCGTCTCCACCTCCTCCGCCATCTTGCAAACCTTGAGATGGTCCACCCAAAAGACTCATGCTAGGCCCAACATAGTTCCTTATTCCAGGTCCGGCTCCAAATGCATTGACGCCGGCATTCTGAAGAAGCACAATCTTGAGCAAAACAAAGGAGAAGACACTCATTCCAAATCTGTTTTTTCTCAGCAGTAGTACTAAAATCAAATCATAGTAGTTCTTGGAAACTTACTCCAGGAGCTTTCAGCGCTGATGTTATCATATTCGTGATAGTTTTTGTGAAATCTGCAACAGCAGCCGTACCAGATGATGAACCTAAGCATTGCGTAATGTAATTAATAGCGCTCCACTTGAAAATGTCTTGCAGACAGAAAAACCATACCCAAAGGCGGGCCAAGAAAACTGGACGGTTGCATGTAAGGGGCTCTGGCAGTGGCTGCAAAAAAAGATGTCTGAGAATTCACAGAATGCAAAGAAAGACTCCATATAGACAGACTGAGATGAGGACAAAAACGAACCGGAACTACTTGGTGGAACATTCGGCGGAGGAACATTAAAGTTCAAGGGCGGTGCTGTACTTGGAGGAACTGTCGAAGACGCCGCTGCTGTTGACGTGCTACTTCGACTTGGCGCTATCGCTACGTCCGGTAATGCACTACTAGATCCAGTTTTCGGGAGCGAGCCATTCGTCTAAAATAATTTGTGAACTAGAGGGGAATCGAAGAGATGGTAAGCTTGATAACAGCAGATGATTTCACGAGACATTTTGAAAGGAATTCTAGCATTTACACATCGTCGTGGCATCTTTGAGGATATTTGTGCGAAAAACGAAAGACGTGCACCGAACAACGCTTCTATCGTGTTGTAAAACATGATTCATGATCTAACATACCGTTCCGTTCACAGGACGTAACGTAGGCGGTGGTTTTGAAAAATCGGGCAAACCAGGGAGAGCGGGACCAGGAGATGACTGAAAGTGAGTTGATTGTGCAAAAAACTGGGATAACATAGAATAATGAGCAAAATGATGAGATAAAAACTTACGCCTGCCTGAACTGTAGATGCTGGCGCAACTGCAGAAGCAGGGCCGGATGAAAGAGGTGGAGGAGGATGCGAGAACGATGACGGTACATTGGAGAAAGATGATGGCATAGACGATTCTGCCATTGCGTCCGCGTCTGGAGATTCCGACTTCGCAGGTGGAGGAACCGTCACCGCCGGTGTGGATGTCGTTTCCGGTACTGGTTGAACAGCTAAAAAAAGCATTAACAACTCTAAATAGCTGGTTACTTCCGACAGCTCACCTGGAGACATTACCGGCTGCATTACTGATATACTCGGTTTCGGAGTCAACATAGGTGGTACACCTGGAGGGACTAAGAAGGGTGTTATGCCCACAGGTGGAGCGGGAGTAGGACTGGAACAGGTAACTATAGCTTGTACATCAAGGAATAAAACAGAAAACTCACTTCACATACATTCCAGAAGGAACTGAAAGCGGCGTGAATGATGGCTGGAACCCTGCTGCGGTAACAGCTGAGGGTAGCCCACCAGCAAGCCCTAAACATGTAAAAATTTGATTGCGTACCAAGACTCACAACGCCCTAGAGTTGGAGTACCTGATTCGTTTATGAAGACACTATCTCCCTCGATTCTCACCACAGATTGTAAATGGGCAGGCAAATCGGCATGTATGGCCTTCATCATATCCACTTCGCCTTGCCGCATTGCTTTCATTTCACTACAACGAATGAGTGAGTCTACGAAATGATGACTAACAAGCCAAAATTACTTGAGTAGCTTCTCTCGCTTTTTGCATAACCGTTGAGCATTTGCCAATAAATACAGAGCTTCTGAAACGGCATTGAACAGCTGATCGTCGCTCACAGTGGCTGCCTAGAAAATGCTACTGATATTAGTAGTTTATGCACCGGGAGAAGATCAATTTTCTCTACACATCTTCAGTCACCAACTCGATGGTAAACGGCTAGGGTAAAACAGTTTTCACATCGCCTGAGCAATGGTAAAAGTAACGAAAAGCCGACGATCTGAGGAAACGACAAACTAAACTAAACTTCAACTAAATCCTCATCAATACCGTGCCAAGAATTCAGAGAATGCTTTCAACAGAAACGTCATGTAAATATAGCATTTGATTACTTTTCGCGATTATATGAAGACGCAAGCAACAAATCACAACCAATCTTTCACCTTTTATTTGTATACTAACGTAATGGAAAATGGGCACTAAAAGTGCACCAATTACGCGATTTATTAAGAACTTGATCTTTGAATTGTAAACTTCAAGGAAAGAGCATATATTCACTACAGCGCTATCAAATTTCGAAAGGAAGTAGACGAAAGAGAGTAACGATTGAATTAGACTTTTAAGAGAAGAGTGTTTCCGTTACTGGTTTAAAAGATAAATTAGAACAGTTTTAAGACAGATTCGTTTGAAACGGAAGATAATTAGAGCCAATCATGTTCGTAACTATAGGCTTTACTTAATCAAGTAATCTTATTCTACCATTTACAAACATAGGATGATTGCCAAAACCTTAAATCAACTAGTATGTCTGATGTATCACGTTATGCAACTACGTCAGTTAATTTATAATCACCTTTTCTAGCTCCAAAAAACTACAACTGAAGAAATATAAAAAGCAGCACTATGTTTGTCTTGTTTCCGAGCAGCTCAACCGTGTCGCAACTGCAACCGTATCATCCCGCAAAATAAAAGTCTGTTTTCAGGCAGTATGATCTCAAAAACATCCTCTAAAAGAAAGCTGAATACTTCACAGATGATATGAATGTCGGCGCCTTCCAATCAAAGTTCCTTTTGGGCATAAAATTTGTAAAGCTTCATTCGACGCCATCGGTGTGTTTCTGGGATATAAACTACTTGAAAACTGCAAATAAATAGCGACTTTTCACTAGAGGATTGCAAGGAATGCCATTTCACACAATACTCTCTTCTTGTGAGCCCATTTTGAACTATGATAAGGACTATTTTATTCATTCAATGCTAGCTCAAACCCTCAAAAACATCAGTCACATGGATCTGTCTGGTACAAAAACGCTGAAATACGCTGAAATAGCATTCCACTAGTGATCTTACAGTTCTTATCAATACAGTACGAGACCTCTTGTTCCTGGCAGCCCTGTTCTCTTTGAAATGGAGTTGGAATATTTAGCATTAATAGATTGCCCTACCTACATACCGTACACCAACAAAACATGTTGATTTAAGGTACCGCAAACATTTAGATGTGCGACTTAACTATGTAATTTTGGAAAAAAGGCGGCGCGTTGGTTTGCAAAGAGAAGAGCAACACGCCTCTGCAGCACAGTAGGTAGCGATATTTGTATAGAGAGAAAAAATTGTTATAAGAAAAGCAGCAAGCCTTCCCAATCAAAAATGTGCGAAACTGCGCAACTCTAAAGGTCAGGAAGAAAACAAGCTATGCGAAGTGCTTAAAAACCTGATAGCAAATGCCGTGTAGTAGAACAAGTGGGGAGCCCTAATAACGCACTCAACACGACGCTTCTCCCATACTTTGTTAGCACAAACAGCGCCTGCTCGGGCCACTAAGCAAAGCGACGATGGTGTGCTCTCTCAACGGCCTTTCGACAAACTATCCACCACCCGACAAACACTGATATATCGATCGATGAACTTCGATCCTTTTGAAGAAGATATTTACTTATCCTAATGCGAAATATGACGCATCTGAGATCTCTGCTTGATGAGAAGTGTCAAGTGTCACCTGATTTTCGCTCATTGCAATGTGAGCGTTACAGCGTCGTTGTAACTCTGCTGGATTGTTGGAGAGATCTTCTAGTCCGTTATCGATGTCACCATGATGCTGCTCTTCATGATTTCGCCAGCTTTCATGATGGCCACGACGGTCATTGCCCTCTGCCCAACCGTGGCGACGATCGCGCTCATCGCCGCGGTCGCCATCATCGTCGTGCCGCCGCTTCCTTCTCGAGTCCGGGGAACGATTTCTGTACAGTGAAAGCATTTTTTACGGCTATGTACAAAAAATGGGCAATAGGAAGAAAATAATGTAAGAAAAAAGTCGCAAACCTGTTGTTGGAAAGTTCCCTGTCCGCGCGGCTTGTTAGAAACTCCGATCCAGGCCTAAACAAGACTAGTATAGACCTCTGGACGTAAAGGTGCAATAAAAAGTCGAAGTGGATTTGCTGGCTTTGTAAAAAGTATCTTTTTTGAACACTGTTAGTGCTTAAAGTGTGTAAGATCAGTTCCGGGTTTCAATGAGCCAAAAAGTCAAGACAGTAATAGAGCTGTACCATATTCATAGATCGAGTGGATGCAGTTTAGTAAATCACTACATGGTGTTGCGTCGACGAAAGCAGTGGCACGCATTGGGGGAAGGCCGAAGGAACAAGATGTTCTAAAAAATCTGCCAGTGACGCTCGTGTAAAGTTGATCGCATGAGTACGTCATTGCGAGAAAAATATCGATGAACATAAGCGATTTGGGGAGAACCGAAGATGAGCGAAAAATGTGTTACGCGGCAAAAGACGAAAAAAAACAGAAGCAAGCGTAAAACGGCAGCGAGACAAAATTGTGAGCAATAAAGCGACACCAGAGATATCTTATCATCCAGAAACGCGGCAAAAAAAAGCCTCGCGAACCCAATTATGAGGGGCCCACGTGAGCAAATATACCATGTCTTTGTAGGTGCTAAATACTTAGCCCTTCCCTTGAACTTCCTGAGACGCACTTCAATTAGCAACTAATCATATCTTAGAGTATTCGCGATAGTCGCCTTTTAATCACAAAAAAACCAAAAAAAAAACATGAAGAGACGGGGGACGGAGAGGGCGGAATAACGCTAAAAAAACTTATATGAGACGCAAAAAGGACGTATTCCCAGGGTTCGGCACAAGGGCTTATAAGCAAGCTGGATATCGTTTTTGGGACAATTGGCAAAGGGGGTTTCGTTTTTGTGACCAAAAAGACACAAAATTTGCGACGTTTTTTTGGTTGACGTCTCGTTTTTGGAGATTTTTTGGTGTTATGGTCTAAGGTCAAAGAGGACTTCGTAAAAATTCGCAAAAGTCAAGGGAACTTCGTTTTTTGCATTTTCAACTAACCACCTCTGCCGAGCCCTGCATATTCCTATTAATGAAAAAAAAACAGTAAGAATCAAAAGCAACGCATCAGAACAAATCTTTTGATTAACAACTAGAAATTACGGATTCAGTCACTAACGTATTTCTTTCAAACATGAAAAGCCGTGTGACAGGAAAAAAAGACGCCAAAAAAGCACGAAAATTCTTTACATTGTAAGTACAAATGAAGTCGATACTACATTCGACAATTTGATGAAGTTTTTTGGTTCTGCGGGATTATAAGAGATTGCACATAGAGCAAAGAAAGTGCAAATGACAGAGCCGTCGGAAGCTCTTGCACAGATGCAAAGCACCAACCCTATTCTTTATCTGAGATTCTCATATTTTAGGCGCAAACGAAAACTGTAAAGCTGATGTGAAGGCACACTATTCAAGATACACATACCAATTCTTTAAATAAATCAAAAGGGTAAAAAAGAGATCTACCGGCATCGAGAGGAAGTTCTTGCAGTTCGTTCAACAACAAGATGTTATTGGTAGACAGCTGTTGATAGATGCCAGAGTCAGTGACATTAACCAGCATTTTTGCCGTCAGCTGAGTGCAAAAATTTTGTTCTTCTCAAGAACGATGAATTATGAAGGCAAAGGTAGGCTGATGGTTAAGAAGCTGTACAAGCAGTCTACACTAATGAACAGGCATGTGTCGAAGATGAAGAAGCGAAAAACACAGAGGAAAAAACAACGCACGAAAGGAAAATGACAGATCAACTAGAAGTTTCAAGGATGCGAACATAGTCAAAATCGATCACAGAAGCGAAACTTCTTCGGATCAGGGCACGTGGAAAATGATGTGACATATGAGACGTTGCGCTGTAAACCTGCCGCGTGTGTATACTTTTTCCACTCGAATATCGAGAGTCGCACTATAGGAAGAATGCAGAAAGAAGAAGTGCAGTAAGAAGGGGTGAGAAATCCACCACATATAGAAGTTAAGATAAGGCAAAAACTGCTCGAAATTACCCGAGAAGATATTGTAAAGTGATCACAGCTGTAGCGAACAAAAATAACTCAGCAATGCGACAAGTCAAAGAGTAAACCACATCAATCTCCTTAGTGTGCTGTGATCATGGACAACAAATGTTCGAATCGGGGGTTTTATTGCTACATTAAGTGTTAACTACCGTTGAGGAACGCACCACGAGCTCTAGTCTTCCTCTATTCTGGTATCCGGAAGTAAATAAAGTGATTCCGGTTCAGAATTGCTGCGATAGGAGCGAGCCAGTTCACAAATTCGAAAAAAAAAATAAGTGGGCTTTGTAGGAGTAACGATGTTGCTACGTAGTAAGCAGCAGAACATGATTACTACTCAAAAACATTTTTTATTTCACAATTATGAGCCGCCCCAAACAAAACCACAATTGCTTGTGGAATATCGCAAAAACTGCGAAAAATTAGAGCGCACTTAGTTTAGCCAGTAAAAGTGATGCTCAGTTCTGAAAACTACCTCAAACATACGAAACAGCGGCCTGCTGACGATTCGTGATAATAGCGAAAGATGTCAGCAAATATAAAAAGAATGATGATTGATTACCAAAATACAAAAAATGATGGTAGATAAGAAGAGATCAGCTAACTACATCAGCGCAAAAAAGACTATAGCATTCCAAAAAAGGTGAGTTGAAGTGCCGTTGATAGACCATTTCCAATACGGTTAAAAAGATAGAAATTGGAATAGAATGTCAGTTACAAACATTACTTCAAAAAAAAGTTGCATACTTTACTTCACAAAGGCAATTTGATACCTGGTATAAGAAAAGTAAACAATATTTTCCACAAAAATCATAGAGCAAAGAAGTTTTTAGACGCGGAGTTGCGATCGAGTAGCTAGGCAAACTTCCCACGCATCCGCAGAAGACAAAATGAACTTCTGAATATTGGGTTGGCCCAAAGGTTGTGTAGCACCATTTTTAAAAATTCGTCATTTTTGAACTTCCCAACCACTCTCATTTTTGCTTGGAAGAGCACATCATGCTCTTCATGCCGTATCTTAACAGGTTCCTATTGAGCATACCTGCATAGATAGAAGAGATAAAAAATAATATTGGATTTTCTGTGTAGAGTCATGAAACAAAAGAAAATTTGCAGTAAAAAACGGAGTAGTAAGTAATATAACTTATATTAGTAGCTCTTTCTGCCTGCACAAAGTTTTTGCTGATTGAGCTCTCTGAGAAAAGTTATGATATTCGAAAAAAATGCCAAAACTAATCAAATTTACCCTTTGCATTGCTTGCTCGAGAATCATAACTTTTCATAAAGGCGCTCAATCAGCACAAACTCTGCACAGTTATAAAGAGCTGCTAATATAACCTAAAATGCTGACTGCTCCGTTTTCTACTGCAAGTTTCAGATTTTTTATGACCTTACAAAAATTCAAAATAGAGGTAATTTTCTTCTACAGCTTTTATCTGTGCAGTGTATGCTCGGTAGGAAGCCGCTAGAATACCGCTATGAAGAGCATGAATAGTTCTATTTATTAAAGTGAAAACAGGCAATTTGGTTGAAAAAAATGAAAATTAAATTTTTGAAAATGGTGCGGAACTTTCGGACCAACCTGATAAAAGGCAACCCATAGGAGAAAAGGATGGAGATCCTAGAGAATGTCCTACGACAAGAAGAAATGAATATAATGTAGGAAGGGCAGGAAATATCAGTAACGGAGACGATTTTGACTTGCAAAAAATATTACCAAGACTGTGGAATCGCCTATAGTATTACTCAAAAAAAACACGACCCGAAAGAACTTGCGAGCTCTTTTTGCCAAACTCACTCGTCAAGAAAAGACCGTACGTTCCGCCTAGGCTGCGCCGAATCGTATGCACCATCGTATGGAGGCGTTGAGGGACCATGAGGCGGCGATAAAGGACGTGACACGTCGTCGATTCTGCAAGAAAAAACCACTGAGCAAGAAAATTTCTTTTTCAAAACAGTACGTGTCGTCTCAACGAACAACGAACACCAAAAGCTCGTGGTGCGTGAAAACCGCAGATTTGCGTGTGCATTAGAGATGATGAGGAGAGATGAGTCGAGACAAGCAGTCAGCAACAGGCAGCCCGCCAAAGCGCAACGTTGCTTGCACTGTGCCCGACAGGCGATTAATTATTCGACTATGTATACATAACGACCGGAAGTATGGTCTCATAGAACGGCGTTGCGTAAGTCTTCGTCAACACTGAACCAATCGTGTATGCAGAAAAGCGACGAGAACGAGCACTGAAGCAGCAAAAAATTACAATGCAATCGTCACATTGCCGCGTCATGAATGCATTGCGAGAAATGCTCTGACGATAAAGGAACTCATGGAATTATCTCCGAAAGAAAAACAATAGAGCATGCACGGATAAAATGATGTAAGGACAGCGAAACCCATGGAGACTTAACTTGTCACTATCAGTAGCGTCTATAGTCGCAGTCTATTGTTCAAAATCATCTGACGAAGAATTTTGGATCGATCTAAGATTCGAGAACGTGCGAAGATTATTGGAATAACTATAATGTATCTCAGGTTCGTTTTCTTGACTCTAAAGAAAAAAATTGTCTGGAATGCAACAATGACAGACGTTCATCAATCAACCAATGTGGTACGTTTAAGGGTTTCAATCAAGAGTACAAGCTACGAATATGACGGACCAGAGGTGAGATTACAAACGGAGATAATTTCCTTTTTAAACTTGCGCATATGAAAGGGAAAATAAGCATGCTAGAAGCAATAAAAAAACGATGAATTTTGATGCCTATAAGGTTCAAAATCGATTGATTCCTATACGGTCTTGAAGCAATACCGGAAAGGGTTGAGATGTGTAGAAAATCATTAAACGTAATTTGTGACTATCCCCTTCGACAAAACAAACATATACTTCCGCAACACACCGCGTGAAGCTCCTTGATTGATAGTTAGCATGCACTGTCGCAATTTGTGAAAGACGATCAAAAAGAGCGAATTCTTCGGCCGTCAACAACTCAAAACTGTAAGAATATTAAAAAAAACAACAGACCAAGTGCATTGTATCACTAGCTGAATTTGGGGATTTGCTGAAAAAATGATAGAATTTATAATATTGCTTAGTTGCATTTCCAGGCTCTCTCACAACATTCATTCAACAAACTTATTCCAAAAAGTGCAACAAGTGAAAAATATCTCTTGATAACTGAAACAAAACTACTAGGATTTTATGAAACAATGAATTAACTAGGATATCATGAAACAATGTATGCAGCGCTTGATGTTCATATTGGTAAAAATCAGAGCCAAGAACCCGTCTCGAGCATGCACGTAATTTGTTAGCAATGCTACCTTTAAAATCAATTATACTGCTAATGCAGAAGTCCTGAGCGAGCAATTCTGAAATTCGGTAAGAAAATGTCTCCGCTTTCAACTACTGATTTCTCAAGTTACCTACTCCATTTGTTTGCATAGCCAAATATTACTTTTCCGTAGTTTTCCTGAAAGTGAGGCAAACAAACGGCTGCCAGTGTCATAAATGATAATTTTTAGCCGTTGTTTCAGCACTTTTCTAGCAACTATAATGACACAAGGGATTAATGCACTAAGACAACAATTTCTCAGACAGAAACTCTGCTCTCTGCAAACGACTGGGAAGCATACTAGGTATCGTTACAGCAACCTCGTTTCCGAAAAATTTAGTTATATGGTAGAAGAATATTAGTAACAACAACGTAAATGTGGATGAGCTTCAGCTGATGCTACACATCGATAAAGAGCTTCTCGAAAGTGTAGAAGGGAGTGGAAATAAGAGAGGGTAAGTAAAGGGTGAAATTTAGCACTGGCTCGCATACGGAAGAACTTGAAGAGGAAGCGAAGACTCGAAAAAAAAAAAAGCCTCCAACAGAATCAACAGAAGCTGATGTCGTATAAACACGCAAAAGGATTGCTAAAACATACACATATATAGAAAAACATCGTTATGAAGCAACTACTGGCCAAACTACAAGTGGTTCTCCAAATCTTAAGTGCAATTTTGTTTGGAAGAATAGTCAAATTCAGCACCAGTTTCCACTCTGATGGGTCTTCTCCTTCCAACGTTTTGATTCATGACCTTATCGATAGCTTTTTTGCTGCACTCCAGCATTTGCTTTCAAACTGTCACAGCTATGAATATGTATTGATATTGATTACACTATCGGTTGTCAACCAAATAAGAAAAACAATAGCCCGTCCGACCCACCCACTTGAAATGATGGAAATTTGTTTCCTGAGGAACAGTGATCACTATTCAACCTCAACAGCTCTGTTTCACCTCCTCCCCCCCCCCCCCTCCCCAATCATAAACGACACTAGTATAGTCATAAGCCAAGTGACTGACTCAAAGGCAGTGTTCCGGCAGATTTGCGTTTCAACCTTTCTGCTTGATCTAGGCCTTTTCGACACGTAGAATCCGAATTTGAGCCTTGAACCGGGTGAAAAAACCGTTTAAGGCGTTTCCCGTATTTGAAAAGCAGCTCGGACCGAGTTGCTGGAGAGTTGGGAGGCCCTAGCAGCACAAATATCATACCGCCTGTTTCTCGCCGGGGGGGGGGGGGGGGAATCAACTAGCCGGACTGAGTTTGGATGTTAGTGGGGTGACCATGAACTCCACTACAGCGATATTCCCCTGGGTGCGAATCTGCAGGGACACTGCTCTCAAGCTATTGAAGACACGATGAAGAGATTCATACCGTTTTCTTGATGCATTTCAACGCTTTTGGTAACACATACTTGGCAAAGAAATTCACAAGCAAACGCACACACGCAAAACAGATGAAAGGAATTTGATATGTGCACAAGAAAACAATATTTAAATAAGAAAAAAATGGGAAATTTGAATAGCGGATAGTGGAGATCAGCGCAACGAAAAATAAAACTTTCTTTTCGATTCAGCATACCACCACTTGGAAGTGAACATGCCTGTAGTGATATACTGAGTCCAACAAAAGAAAAAGTGATAGATATCTATTGAGCAGCATCAGGATACCAGCCAAACAAGGCCGTGGAAAGGACGCAAGGAGACAAGAGAACAAATAAAAAAAAACAGCTGAAACTTGGATGCTGCAAAAAGGTAGAATCGTGGTTCGACCATAAATCAGCAAAAAACCACTCGCTATATCCGTCCGTAGAATTTGATGATGTAAATGAAGGCACAAATGCGAACGAAAGAGAGAAGTTCGAAAAGACAATGAAACAACTACACCTACCTTTCTTTCATTTTATATTTCGTCGGAAAATTCAACTTCTTGAGGTTTTCTAATCTTGTTCGCCGATCGTCTCTTGGAGGGGTAGATGGAGGAGCTGGAGGAGAGTGGGAAATTTCCCGATCACGACCAGCACTCTGAAAGCAGATAAAGAAAATATACTCCAAGTTCTTCCAGATGACAGTAAGATGGATATATGTCCATAACTTGTCATAAATATGTGCAAAAATTACATTATAATGCAGATAGATCTAAAGCTGATAGAAATAAAAGCAAATGAATGAAGAAGTCAAGTACACATTCAAATTATAATTACTAATCCATCTCGACGTGCAGTAAGCACATTCAATCGCTGCTTGGCGCCCTATCAAAGTAGGTAACGGACGGAGGATCGCTTATGAATTTCAGCTATTCACAACTTCGTACACACAAGCTTTTGATTGGACAATGTGTGGACTGAGCATAAACTAGGCAGTGTGTTCAAATCCCGCTTACTGCTTCAGAGTTCCAACTTCATCATTCAAGATAGACGCCTGACGGACCTCGTACAATCTTCAACAGGTATAATCGACAGCATCTGAGGTTTTGCCATCAAATAATAATTACAAGCATTTATTCTCTTCTTTCCTTTCAATTTCCCAAGAAACATGAGTAAAAACCTGTTACGTCAGTGGCAAAAAAGCGATGACGGAGACACTTTCAAACATCTGGTATTAATGTGATGATCGTGTCTCTTGCACTCATCTGACTTGATCTCAGTATATAGCGCGTACACAAACCAATCTTCAATTACCGCATACCGCAAGAATTACGTCGAGGCTAACACGATACTCAAGCTTGGGAACCGTGCATATCGCTTAGTGGAGAAGAAATGGTCATTACATTAAAACTCAAAATTTCTTTTTAAAATGGGTTTTAGTAGATAGTTAGGGCAAAATTAAACTATCATACGCATACCTCGTTCATGCACGCGTGACAACAATTTTTTTATAGAAAACAAACTCCGAACATTCCCACAGATAACTAGCTACAAGAGTATTAACTTCTTAGATAACTTTCCAGAATAAATCTAAGTCAAGAGAGAAAGTGAGCCTCGCATGGCTACACATCATCCTGAGTATAATACGAGCGACGTCACTATCAAGGGGGTATGATCATGAATGATGTTGATGTTTGATATTTACCATATTTCGATAGAAGATCGTTGCGTTACGATGAACGTACTTGGCTTTGAAGCAAAGTCAATTCTCTCGCTCATGCTAACACCAAAGTCGCTGAGAAAGGTGGAGTTGGAAAACATATTACATATGATTAATGTTCGACAGAAAACCACTCGATAAAAAACTCATTTTCGTTGCTGCCAGATTGAAGCAAACAAATATGTGCTCAATAAAAGTAAGAGCAGCTATGATGTGATATATAAAACCTTTTATTAGGAAAGGTAGAAAATGCGCAGTTTTGAGTAACGATTCTGATATAACAATGCGAAAATATTAGAGCACCACATTGCTTAGTAATCTACGATGAGCCACACAAATCTGAACTTACTTGTCTAGGTACTTTACGCATAACACCGTTGAACTCCTCAGATGTAGAAGTACTAGGGCCAGGTCTTTTGTTGGTGAGAGGTGAAAATTCATTCTGCAATAGGACCAAAAATCGTCAATTTCAGCAAGAGAAAGCTAGGTGGTGGTTACTTCATATATGAAACTTTCTCCTGGAGGAGGGGACTCTGGCGGAATGGATGACTCTCGGCCGGTTCCATTACTAAAAACATCCTATTTAGCCCTATCCAGAGCACAGACCTTTTGAACAACCTACCGGAATGCATCACAGTTTACAAGCTCATCCAATTCTTTATTTGGACGAGCTCGAGGTAACTGGTCCATCTCGTCGTCACTTACATCGCACAGATTGTTTTCTGGTGCTGCCGTTGTACCCTACACAAGAAAAGTGGTAGAAAAAAAACAGCCCTAGTTATTCCATCAAATGTAAAAATTTCTATGCTATATGCGAAAATCTCGTGCAGTGGATTACGATGTTGGTGGAGAAATGTTTGCCACATCGCTAACACATGAAACAGCCAAATTCCCAGACAACAATGCTATCGCAGATTTCAAATTGCTGGATACCCGCGGAGGAGTACTCCATAGGTTAAACTTGGTTTGTTTTACAATACTATGTTTAGTAATGAAATCACTGACAACAAATTAGAAACGGTTCCAAAAGCGATTAGTGCTCTGTCCAAAATATAGATGAAAACCATACCATCCGCGGAGAATTTCGCAATGCAATGGAAAAAACATGAATATGTAACTCATCATTACGACATACACCCAGTCATCAAGAGTGATAAGGACCTCTAGTAATTTTTTAAAACCTAAAAAGTCCCGCTGCTCCATTGCCACATTTGGCAGTGCAAGAATTTGTGCGCCATATTAGCCAACATGGATTCGACGGTAATTTTGCAAACTAGAAAGACAAGTCAGTCAAAAAAAAAATAATCAAGAGTTGAGCTGGAAAAGAGAGATCCCTAAATGAGCCCAGATGAAGTGCAGAAGATTATCAACATACTGTATTTGGGAGAACACCATCGAGAGAGTCATTTAACGGGGCGTCCGGTACGTCTCCAGTATTCTAATAACAGATAGAAAGTAAAAAAAAGACGGAAGAGCAAAAATGAAAACTAAAAAAAGGTTCACAAAGCATACCTCCACATCAACTTCAACGACCTCAATGGGGACGTCCTTAAATTATGAAACTACTCAGATTGAAGCAAAAAGAAACGTGATAATGAACTTAGTCTGCTAGTACATAACGACTTACAGAAGATATTAAATTAAGATCACACACCTCAGAATCGCCAGTGGCACCACTCTGACCTCGAGAAATCTGGGGCACCTTAAAAGAGCAAAATTTCAAAGCAAAATTCAACCAATACTGAACAAAGCCAAGAATGCAAAACAATAGTTCGAGTGATATAGAAACACATGCAGCAGAACAGTAATTAGAGGATGGTAATGGATGATCTTCGATATGTTCGATATCCATCGATATCTTTGATATCCATATGTATAAAAAATGACATTCCGAACGCGAAGAAGTGACAACTGATCAATGAGCCATTCAGAGATGTGAAGGTAAGGGAATAAAGCAAGGATCTAGTGAAATTTAAGCAAGAAAATAGTAGTGAGGAGAACTTACTTCGGAAGTGGTCTCAGGAAAAGTTGCATGCTCGTGCGGTTCAGCTGGAACTTCACCGTCCGCCTTCAAAATAATAGTTAGATGCAACAAAACGCATATGAGACTATTCAGTCCTATCAAGAGAATTTAAAGCTCACCACTCCTAGAGAACCATTAGAGCCATCGTCAGTCAAAACTGTTGGGACGTCGCATGTCTAAAATAAATTGCATTGCAAAGATATGCAGATGTAGTCTAAAACGGGGAAAACACGGGCAAGAAGCGCGAACCTCTTGACCAGCCGGCCTTGTACAATTCTCGGCAATTCCAGAAACCTGAGCAGGGACCTCATCGTCATGCTTAAGATGCAGTATGGCACAAAATGTGGCAAGGGATAAATAAATGATTTTTACAAGAATAAAAGAAAGTAAAGATATATGTCACAGAAAATCCCAATAGAAAAGGCAAATGATGACCAAGAAATGCACAAAACCGAAAAAATGTTTACGCGTAAACGCGGAGAAAATAATGTGGTGTGAAATGAAAAAAGCAAGAAATCACCTCTGACAGATAATGGCCTCCAGGGGTGTTCTGAAATGAAACAAAAAAGGCTAAATTACTCTGGACAGTGACAAGTCTTACCTGAAAAGATGCAGACGTTCCTTCAATATGTTCGGACTGAAAGGATTTGATGAAGATTGTTAAATTCATAACAAGCCAATAAAGGAAAACAAAAAACCATAGTTATAGTGGCAAAGAAAAAACATCAGAAAATCAAGCTTAAATCGGGTATCAACACTAACCTGAGCGTTTTCAGAAAAATTGGGTAGTTCAGCTTGCTCTTCTGTTGGAAAGCTGGATCCACTAGCAGCGCCACCGTCGTTCTGAAGCTCACTTGGATATTTACAATGTGACTTGTTTATGCAAAAATCGAGAATAAGAGCGATACGACGCTCACATCGCGTAGACGGTCATTGTAAAAAAAGAATTATCACCTTGGATGGATCCGGCACAGTCTGAGAAAGATCAGATTTGCTTTCAACTAGACCAAGCGAATCCTCATCACTCTTCAAAACAAGTGGCATCAAGAAAGGAGTTATTTTATAGTATATTACATCACCTACCTCAGCAAAAAAGAACTGCGCCTTTGGAGGGTCGTCCTCCATGCAAGATCCTGGAATGTGTGCGATGTGTACGCAAAAAGTGAAGAAATAATGAACAGAACAAGAGCTGCAGACCTTCTCAGAACTACTTACATGATCTTCACAAAAGAATTTAAGATACCTAAGGCCAAAAGCTTGTGCACTAGAAAAAAATTCAAAAAACGAACGCATGAGAAAGTGCCCAGATTTGACCAAAACCAAAAACACAGGCGAAGAATACGCAACGCAGCACGCCACGCGTCACAATTTTATAGATCGGCAAACGGTCCGCAAACGAATGACCGCCTTCGGTAATTTCCGTTCAAACATTTCTCAATCAATCTTGGTAGTAAAAGTTGTCTTGGGAAGTGCAGTGCGACTAATTGCTGCTTCGATTCGATTCGTTGATTCATATTAATGATAACTAAGTGCATTTTCACTTCATACGCCGTTCTCTAGTAGTTTTAAAGGAAATGGGGCCATCAAACTCCTATTGCCTAATTCTTTCTGATCGTTCAAATTAAAGCTTGCATAAAATTCAAGCGCTACCATATTCGTAACTGCTGGATCAGAAGTTGTGCGACTTGGCTTAACGTCACGACTTTGTACATCGGAATTACGAAATACAGAATAAACCAACAAATCCAAATTAACCTGAGTCAGTCAAAGGTTTCATATATTCGAATTGCTCCAACACTCACGTACGATTCCATTTTCTTCACTTCATTATACATAACATGGTTTTTTATCGCATATGAATGTGCAAAAACCTCGAATGCACTATAAGTGAAGAGTTAGAGAATAGAATAACTAATGAATCTCGAAAATAACCCCTGAATGGTATAATTCTTTGAATTTTTGAGTTCTGCCGCGCATGTGAGCCACATGATATCCGAACGCTCAAGCGATTTGGCACAGTGGTAGCGTGGCTGATTCGTACGAAACACGGCCGGAGTTCAAGTCTCGCGAGCTGCTAATGATGACAAACAGTCCTCTTTATCTGAAATATAATGATCGTACCATGATCCCTGAAGCAGTGATTTTGGTCACGTCGGAATTAATTTTTGAGCGGGATTTCACTAATAATCTGGTCAGCAAATTTCATGTGGTACACCTGCTCACTTACAGCTGCTCTATTTCAGTTTATGTTGTGCTCATAGAAAAAGTGTCCTGAGAAACTTTTATGAACTAGTGAGTGGTTGCTATTTATCGAAAACTTGCAAGACAGTGTAATCAACCAATTTGCCATTTCCTTCTCTTGGCTGAGCTCGGGCGGCCCTTCACGAGCAGATACGTGACTCAATAGCACATTGCTTCGTTTTGACCTCCAGTCAATCGATGATCCCGCGCACTTATGGTCAAGTGCATAAAGCATAGACTTGTAAGATGCGTGATCCAGGTTCAAATCTGGACCTTGCTAATGATGCTGTACCTACGACGATGATCACGAACGAACACCATGTATTGATTACGATACTAACTGAAGCTACTATTTTCTCTTCATTCCCGTATGTGTGGACAATTTCAGAGTTAGTGTTGAAGTTACGGTTCTCAGAACTTTTCGAGTTATCTTCCAGTTCTTATGAGAAGTTTGTTTGCTCAGCACAGTTGTAGCATCTGCTGGTCGTTCATGAGAGTAAAGTGTGTGTTTCCGGTCAAAACATCGAAACAACTCATATTTGGCTGTCACAAGTTTTGTAAGAATATGTAGAGTAAGTGGAACCAGATAATAAGTTCTTGAGTTTTAGACAGTGCCTGAGTGGAAGTGCATGAGTGGAAGTGCAGTGCATCTACTGCAACCTTGCCTAATCATCGTCAAATTATGTTTTGTGACTTGTGGTTAAAAACCAAGTTTAGATGCAGTTTAGATGTCTGCGCTATTTGTTGCCTTAGCTAAGAAATTCCAATTAGCAATTCCTTGTGTAGCAGCCCTTATCTCTTTTGAGATGCTATAATCATTCCGTGTTCGAATACTTACAAGGAAATGATCAAAACTCAAACCAACCATTCCGAACAAGCTGTGTATCACTGCGCTCTTATAATCCTGTTTTCAAATATATGTTTATCATCTGCTAGGCGGCTATCTAAAAGGAGTTCTGAGCGTTTCAAAGTGCGGATTTATCAATTATTCTGTTCCAAGAAAATTTAGAAACGCTTATTTGAGTTCCCGGTGTAGAATCTTGTAATAACAGTAACTATGCGCCCTCAGGCTGCCTTTCAACAAACTTTATTCATTGGGAGTCGGTCAAGTTCTCTATACAAGCGTCGGTGACTCCTTTCAAGATGGTGACTTAGCAGATATATTAAACATATGTCTGAGATTGGCGTTTCAAGACACATGCGATGATGTACGACTTGTTTTGAATGGCTGGTTGCGTTCTGATTCCTTCGTTAGAAAATCGCGCATCTTTAGGGTACGGTAGGCGCCGCTGGCTTCATAGATCGTGTGCAAACGATCGATAGCTTCGTTTTGCTCATTGAATCAAGTACAAACCAGTCAACTAAGAGCAGTGGATATGATCTTAGGCTCTTAAGACGAAACTGGAAAGTTCAAAGCCCATGATGGTATGTACTTGTTTGCTCTGAACAGTCTGAGGATATAAATGAACTGAGGCAACTCTTAAGTATACAATTTCTTAATTTCTGCCTCCCCATGGTTTAAATCATCTAAAAGCAAGTTTGGTAGAGGGAATGGCGATAGGGAGAGTCTTGTTTGACTTTAGATGTGTATTTTTGTGGATTTTTTGTGTACTGTGTATTTTCCCTCCAATTATATGAGAAAAAATATTGCTAATTAAAACACGGTATAAGAGCCGAGAAGAATTTAGTCTGTCCAGTTAGACGGTCAGCGTTGTAATAAGGTTCATTCACACAAAAATCTTAAGAAGCCCTTGTCCGCTAGCTATAGCCCCCCCCCCCCCCTCGCTTCTCCTTCTTTTGCCTATTTAAATCGCAATGTTGAATGACGTCGAAACTTGGCAAGGGCAATCAAAAGTGAATTAATTTGATGTGCCCTATACAGAATGTCTCAAAAAGTGTGCTCATTTTTGACTACTATAACTCTCTTGTCATATAGTCTTCAGAAAAATTTTGTCCACCGTCCTGTAGAGCTGGCTTCGATTTAGATTCAGAGTAAAGAACGAATCACCGATCACTCATTCCTACTGTAGGATTACGGTGGAAGCTTTCATGAGGGTTCAGAGCCATTCAATGTCGCATTTTGTTAAAGAAGAAAACCGAACAAGCCAAAAACTTCTGAACTAGGCTAATCAAACTCTCGCTGATTTCATATATGAAATTTGCGCATCACAGTCATGCTTCGTTTAATTACAGGTAACCTGTAGCAACTGCTCTTCCAGTTTTCATCAAGATGTGATCACGCCGCTAAAAAGCTCAAAAATCTTGTAAAAAGTCGTGCAACGGGATCAGCATGCGCGAACCTTGCTAAAACTTCCACATTTTTTGACGAACCTTATCCAAGTCTCCTCACAGTGGCGCTGTATCCTGGAAGTTTCTGCTGCGATCCCCCAGTAACGAAGAGAAATAAATATTTCGCTATATATTGTTAGTCTATGTTGAATCTACAAAAAGGTACTAAAGCTTCTCCAGATAACCCATGATAAGGGAGTTTCAAAAATGTAGACACATTTTTTGGAAAAACCGTGTATGTGCTCACTCCTTGAAACTCAACACTGCCAATTTGTAGCTTTGATTAAGCCTGTTATCATAAAATTATTTGTTTTTGGATCATCGTTAATATGTTGCCCAATACTTTTTTGCGGAAGTTCAGTCTAGTATATATTTCTGGTCTTACCATGTGTATATTTGAGGATGTTTGACTCATTTACCTTTCTCTAAATCCATTCATCTCGTTATCTACTTGTACATATTATTTGAGAAGAACGACAACTATTTATGAATGCAAAGTACATTTTATGTCCTTAAATGAGATAAAGTCAATAATTATTGGTGGAAAACTAACCGATATTCTACAAACATATGTGAAATTTATACCGAGTTGGATTTCATCAAATACTGAACAGAACTCCACCGAGGACTATCTAGATAAAGCTTTGAGTTTGGTCTACCATGTTTCGCACACTTGTCAGTGTTTGATTTACTGCATTGATTAATGGCAGAGTGTCGTATATTACCATTCAGCGCGCACGCTTATCTCAGATCTGCTTTTTCGATTGTCATAAACCTAGGAGATGCACCATTATTTCTGCGAACAGGAAAGATGGCAGAGGTATGGAATCTAGAAGAACGTAGTTTGAGCCATGAGAGAAAAAATCGGTACATTCTTGACTACAAATTTGTCCACTGGAAATTAGCGGACCACACTTGATGGAAAAGCCTACAGTCAAGACTTTCCGTCAGTCCACATACAGCCAACCCAAAAAATGGGCTCAAAACCTTCAAGAACATTGGAAGTTCTGATTGCGAGGGGCGTGGCGACTTGATAGTGCAACAAACCACTCAAAGCGGGGATGGGCGGGGAGGTTAGACTAGTGAGTCACGCGTCCGAGGAGCAGATCGCAGGTCCGCCCGACGAATTCTGCAGTCGTCAGCAGGGCCCGGCACAAATCGTCTGGAAGCAGGCTGGACTTCGTTTTTGGAGCAAAAAGCAAGGAAGATATCGTTTGTGACGAGTCGGGGCCGAGCACCAAGAATAAGCGCCGTTTAGTCGAAAACAAGCTTTTCGAACAGGTTATCACACGATTGACATGCTCTATCGTGTATGGCGAAAAGTGCGCGCGATTTGAAAGCAAGGCTAAAATAAACAAATTGCTTGTATACAGCGCACAAAGAATCATGCGACACCAAAATTGAACTGTATACTTAGAAAATTATTTGCAGAATACTTATGTAAAAAGATTTGAAAACTTATGTGAAGTAATACCTTTTCCAAAATTAGATCGTCTCCAGACGGCCACCAGACGATCTGAGATCGTCTGGAGCATATATTTTCGTCACTTCACATAAGTTTTGGATCTTTTTAGCATGGATGGATTCCCCGGCCAGGAATCTATC